TAAGATAATTGTGTAAAGCTCCACAATACTTCTTTATCAGGATCAAGCCAAGACGTTCGCATGTTTTAATATAATGATACAGCTTGTATTATAATTTGACAAGAAATATTACGAACAACAATGAACTTTTGACAGAAAGTAATTGCTTTCTAGTCGATTGTCTCTTTTTTTCTTTTTTACCGAAGGAATGCCATCTTTGGTCATGGAATACTGTGCGAACGGGACATTTGGAAACTGGTTAGAAGCAGAAGGAAATCAGGTGCAGAGGAATGATCTGCAAGAAATCGTTCTCGGAATTGCTTCTGGAATGGAATATTTAGTTGCGAGAAAGGTAATAAAATTTTCTGTTAATTTTAATATAGAAATTCTGTAGGCTTCCAGGATCAGTTTGAAAACAGATATATTAGAATTGAGCATGCATTGTATTTCTTAAAAAAATCGTTTTCATGCAAAATTTTTCATGTACAAAATCTTGAATAAAACTTAATCTAATAAATCTTCGATATTGACGAAAGTGTGATATGGAGAAGGATGCTGATAACCGACCAACAACCTTTTAAAAAACATCATTAGACCCACATGAACGCTCTTAGATTTCTAAGACAATTAAAGGCAGTATCGTTTTCTGCAATTGCAGATGTACTTTCACAAGGGCTAAGCGTATTATAACTCGTTGATCATAGATTAGATACTGCAAAATAACAAAATATTTCAATTTGTTTGTGTGTGAGGTTTGCACAACTGTTTGTATGAATTTCTTGCTTGACAGATATTCCACGGTAATCTGACGTCTTTTAACATTCTGCTGAATTCTGACCTTCAGCCAAAAATAAAAAGGATGGCGGACGAAGAACCATCTGCGAAATCATGGGTGAGAAATCTAGCTCCACTCTTTCATGTCCTACATATATCATGATAATATCATGGCGTTTATATGAAACAGATAAGTAATTGTTTCACAATCCAGAAAATACAATTTGAAGTTTTATTTTTCTCTTCCATTATCAGCACTTTTTTCTGTAACAAGAAGTGCAGGTACATACAAGTTTAGCGATATCATCAGCACAATCACGTTACTGCCAAATTGATTATACATTTTGTCAAAGCATAATTTTTTTTATGAAGAAATGGCAGTCTCCAGAGAGATACAGAAGTGACACCATGCCAAATGAGAAATCAGATGTATGGTCGTATGGAGTCGTTATATGGGAAGCATTTTCTCAAGGTATGACGCTAGTTGTATTTTTAAAAAATCCTTTTCGAATGCAGCAGTGTATAAATGAGATATGTAAATACTCTCCCAATTATTCATTTTAGTTTCAAGTCGAATATTGGAAGAGACCTACAGTTTTATATCTGTATCCGTGTATTCTAATAGACTGAACATAAACTTGATTCATTTTAGAACAATTGCGAAACAAACAAATAATAATCACGTTCGCTTGCCCGGACTGACGCTCACTAGGGATCTTACTGTGAGAGTAAAACCCACGTGGCCGCACTTGTGTCCCATAACCTTTTTCATGCTAATTCGAGGAATTTAATACCGGACGACTTGGTGAAAGGATAGTGGGTTTCCTCTTAGCCACCCAACTACCAGAGTGAATACTTATTGACCAAACAAATTTGAGCAAGTCAAAAAATTGGGTTCCTTTCACAGTTGACTTCGTATTCAAGTAAACTTTTCGGTGTCATTCTTTTTTTATATAAATCTCAATTGCCTATAAGCAACGAAATTCACTTGAAAGTAGCTTTTTAACCACAATTCACAATTAGGCCCCAGTCGCCATGTGTGTTTAGCAAACGAGTTCGTTGATATCGTGTAGTTCAACCCACAAATTGAATGGACAGAATACTGTGCGCAACAAGGTGCGTTCAGAAGAATGTCAGCGTGTAACAGTGAGTTAATTTGTGAAAAACTTGTGTACATGATATTTCATGAATCGCTGGACAGATTAAGTTCAGACTTAAATCATAACATCACACCGCTTGTTTTATACATGGCAGGATATTGCATTGACAAAAATTTACATAGCAAGTGCTGCACTTCCAAAATCCCCAGTGTCATTCTCCTAGTGTTATTAAATATAAGTTTAGAATTTGACATGCTAATATGTTTTATTGATTTTATAGTATCACGCTTTTCCTGGTTCTAGATCGGATTAGATTCTGCAGTCATTATTTAAATATTGAAGTCAAGGATCATACTCAACCACGTTAGAAATAAAATCCCTAGGAAATTTAATCTCGTGAATATTAAGACAGATTTGGTTTATATTCACAAAAATATTCATTCCATACTACACCTGATTAGAATCTGTCATAGGTTAAGGTGATCATACTTGAAATAAAATGTACAATATATCTCGTAAAACGTTCATAAGACATTTTTCATATTCGCACAATAGTATTAGGTGGTATATATCTATAAGAGGTCATGTCAACTTTGTTGTATTGTCTTTCGAATAACCAATCATTCGTCTGTAAATCGTAAGGAATAGAATGAGGTAATTGGTTTCCCTCTTGATAATAGTTTCCCTCTCATATTCTACCAAGACGTAAACGTTACAATACTGATCACCACAACATTAATTTGGTATTCACTTTAACTGTTGTTAATACATGTACAACGTGTTTCCTTTTGACACCTTAAAGGTTATAAGCCGTATGAGGGCATTGCTGACTCAGAACTAGAAGCAGCAATTCAGGACGGTCACCAGTTAAGTCAACCCGACTTATGTCCTGACGAGTAAGTTAAACTTCTTAAATCTCATTAGATAGGAAGCATATCATCCATATTTTAATAGCATAGATATATTTTTATAATCTCATATATTCCAACAATTCCTATAATGAACTGACTAATATAGCAGTTGTAGAAGTTTGTATCAGTTTAATGTATTCACGTTTTCGAAATACTACAAGTAGCATACTGATTTCTTCAATAACCACGCTCATTTTACATTGGGCTATATCATTAATGCTTGTTCAAACTATTTTAAATCACTTATTCTGTGATGACGTTTTGTAAGAACAGTAACGCATATGGCATGAAGATAGTGTTTTCCAAAGTACTTTTATAGCAAATAGGAATAGAATTGATTGTATTATAACGCAAGGAATCCTCGTCACTATTGATGTAATACGCCATTCAGGTGAAATAGACAAACGTCTTAACAAGCGTTACTTTATTTCAGATTCAATGCAGTTATTGTGACGTGTATGCAACAGGATCCAATCAGTCGTCCTACCTTCATAGATTTAGTGGATGCCATCAAAGACACAAAAAATTATATATCAGCAGAAGAGGAGGTACAAGAGTTTTATGAAAACACGGAGACCGCAAAATTGTGACAATATCCTACAATTTCTTGAGTTAACGTTCAATGACTTTATCTATATTTCAGATAACGGTTTGAAATATCGCGCCAGTCTTACCTAGTGATTTCCTTCGTATGTCTCTTTACGTTTTGGAATTTATAATCGTCTCAATGATTTATATAAAGCAGCTATATATAACGTATATTATTTGAGACGACGTGCAAAGAGTTGACGTAAACTATACTGAAATGGCACATAGAATTGTGTTTTTCTACTCCTATGAATATTGCAAAACGCAAATGTTGTTTACATTATTCAATATTGTACAGATGATTATGATAATTTTCCAATAATACTGTGATTCCTGTCTAATGTAAGTTTTTTTTAATTTTATATGCATTAGGTTTTTTCATTTATTGTATATCTTTACAAGGTTGGTTTCATTGGTGTTGATAATTGATGTAAAACATGAAAGGGTGTACCGATAACTACTCCGTTAAACTTGTGGAAGAACAGAGACTCATTAACTGTCATGGAATGTTCTCTGTACAGGATTTCCAATCCAACCTTTCATAAAACGATTATGTATGAAGCATGTGAAGATATTAATTATACATATGTATATTTTATATCAAACACTGAACTTAAACTGAAAGTATTCCATATAACCACTCATATCACACTATATACAAACTCCTTACTACTTAATGTAGATGACTTATATAGGTTATGCCCGTTGTTGATTCCAGTTTCTGTATGAAATAAAAATTCTTGAAGTAAAAAACTGATTAAGTCACTAAGACATGCTTGTCTATATTTGACCACATTTGCTTTTCTGCAGTCGCCTCCTAGTTTCAACATTAAGGCTATATAATTGCTGATGAGTCCTAGACCGTTGAAACAGCTGTATGATGCAGTTTCAATTATTGGTTGATAACACTTTATCAAATAATAAATTGATGTTAAGTGATGCTGTAAACTTGTGTGATTTTGTACTGTAAATGCTATCTTCTTTTGATATCTTACAGAGTTATGCAATAATTCCTAAATATCTAACGACCAAAACTAATGTTGATAAGTCAGCTAGCATATTTTAAAATGTGGAAAAGTTTGAAATGTGTGTCTTTTTTCCATATCATCAAACATCAATTTTAATAAAATCATAATTTCATTTCGTTTTGTTTTTTTTTGTAAACTTTTTGTACCGCTTTATATGAAATGAATTTTAACATATGTATACTGAATCCATGGGGTAGTTGTCGCGTGCTATCGGTCAGTCTTGCTTACAGGTTAGTGGTGTTAATTCGCATGGCATCGTGTTATCAAATATGATTATAGAAGGAATGTTTAAATACTTTTAAAATCGGAATACACATAACTGCACGTAGAATAGAAATCAGGTCGGAGTGAGAAACCAAAATATGCTAGTCACAATTAAACTATGCATATAAAAGTATTGGTTTAATATGAGTAGACACGATGATCATAAACGTCTTTCTGTTACATGGCTTGCGACACATTTTTATCGAGTTTTGGAAAGGAAACGTATGTGAACTGGTATAGGTAAAATAACATGAACTAGGAGGACATGGTGTGTAAACAAATACGTGTATTTATTTTGCTTAAGTATAAAACATGAAATAAATCCAATGGCCTGTACGTTTGTGAGCAGTCGGACATCACGGAGAAGTACGTTTTAATTTCTCCAAATTCAGCTTCTCCGCCAGATCATCCTACAAAGTTAATTACGCATGTATTTTTTGTGTTACAATTTGTACAGGATGCTAAACAGAATGTAAATCTACTAGGGATTTTAAATTTGGTTAAATAATTTAGTTTAAAAGTATAGAGGTTAACAAAAGTTTGAAAACCAATGCTTTAGACAACCTAGACAACTGTCTACAATAGCAATACAATAAAATATATAAGTATATTTTAGCAATAGTTGCTCTGTTTCATGGAACAGTCTAAGTGAATATATCACAAGGGCTTCCAGTGTTAATGTTTAAAGAAGAAATACATTTAAATGTTTTACAACCAGTAGGCTATACAAAGCAGTACCTGTTTGTCTTTTCATTGTATATACTTTACATGTACATTGTTCTATGAATTGTTGACTTGTAACTTTTTATTGTCTTGTATTAAACTTGTACATACACGTGAAAGCACCCTGTCTAAATAAACGATATCATTTTTCCCATATGTCCTTGGGCTCTATGAATACCGATTTTCGTTCTGTGGCTCGGGGTTAGCTACACGTGTATGATAAATGCTAAATGGACCAATTTTCGGAATAGTACTCTAAAATGCTGATTTAGTTCGCTTTTATGACTGTTCTGTGTTAGATTCAACATTCAAGGGCTTCTTAACAATATCCTGTTTATGTCAAAAATTCATATAAACTCACATAAAAAAATAGATCAATGCACGGTAATGAAGAGTATGAGTAAATTTGATGATGTTTACGATGATCTCGTTGGGAAAATATCATTTCCTTTTGTTATATAAAGTTACACATATTTGGTGTTTGTTTGATGGTTCTGTCGCTGATATGTAACATTGTGCACATTTGAGAACATGACATTTACAGGGTGGGTATCGTCGATGAAGAATAGGACGCTTAACCTTCCGAAACATCTGATCTTGTTATACTCTCCCTTATCTCATGGGCCTCTGTGTAAATATTTCTTTTGCTCATATTTTGCACATGTGTCGTCGAATGTGAATTTAGATTTATTGACATGTCAGTATTTTGTAATGATGGTAAGATCTGGTTCTTGGTATATGAAGACTTAGTTCATTTGCTATCTATGCATTCTAAATAAATTCCATGCATATAATTTGGTTAAACATACCATGTTTTTAATTTGGTTAAGATGATATGGTATTCCTCCTAAACTATCACACAACTTCATGTGTTTCCGCTCGGGATCGCCAGCGATCATAACGCTTCCAGGTGCATCGTCGGCCTGAACAAATTTTCAATGAGAACATTGTGTAATGCCACATACACGTAGCCAGCATATATCTTAAATAATGTATTACAACATGAAAATGCACATTCACATCATATCTTTACCATGTATTAGTATAACCGACTAATCGACTATATTAGTAAACTTATATTCTTTTGTTTTTGTTTTTCTGTTTGTTTGATTGTTTTTATTTATTTTTTTATTTATTTTTTTATTTTGATTTCCCTCCTCTATTTTGTTTTTGTATTCATATGAATTCGATTTATTAGCTAATTTATTGATCCTTTTAAATTAGTTTTGCATGTATTTGCATATTGCAATGCCCTTATACTGTTGCTTTAGCAAATACTAGGTGTGTCAATTCACTGTCTTGTCTTCACTGATGAAAAGATTGTTATTCGAATTTGTCGAAAGAGAAAAGTAAATGCTACAATACCAACCGTTTCTAGGTTGCGACAATGGTCTATGAGATCCTGTAGTCGGTCCGAAAATCCGTCTTCAAAGGAGTTTGGATCAACAGCGATAAAACAGTGTGCCTGCGAATAAAAGTTGGATTTTATCTTTATCGTAAATAATACTGATATTCTTAAATACATTCCATTTTGTTTCTTATTTCGAATAACTAAATATGAAGAATTTGATTTTCATAACAATTGCACGTTTACCCTAATAAAGTTAATAATTTGCATGTCTTTTGCATGGATAGTTTACATGCCATGACATCCTAATAATTCTATATGATATGACATATAATTATCAGTAATAATGTTTTAAAGGTCCTGTATTAAAAAAGGAATTGAAAAACATTGGCTTACAGATATTTAATGGTGATGTTTACAATATGTCGTTTATGACATGTACACGTCAAATATATGCTCCTAATATGTGACAAAAATATCATTACAATTTTACCATATCTGAAGGCTTGTCGTAAGTCCTCCACATTCTTATAAATGGCCCGAAAGGTGATCCAGCAAGGACGCTGCAAAGTACCTCAACCATCATAGATAAACCGTAACCCTTGTAACCACCTATGTGAAAAATTACAAATAAAACTTATCAAATGGAAAGGTATTGAAACCTTTTGATAATAATTACTGTGATATTTTGCCATAACGGTCCACTTTAACGATGTCTTATCGACTGTATTATAGCAAGTAAATCCATTATTGATGAATAAAGATATTAAACAACAACAACAACAAACAGCAGCAACAACACCAACACTCTTGAATATTTCATAAATTATGATAACGACACAATTAAAATCGGTATAAACTTACATTGGCATCATCATTGCAAATGGTTATTAAAAGGACCAACATATCGAAAGTACAACACTTGAAGTACTCTTGACTGATAAAGAACAAAGGTATTGTGATTATTTATTTTTTATTCACATACTTGTTTCTTCCATGCCTCCTAAGGGCAATAAACCGCCTACATTATTCATTTCAACGGTAGGCTGGAGAAAACAAAAGACAAAATTAACCTAATTCTGTGAAGATAAATGGATTAAATTGTACAATTTGGACACATATAAAGACCTCAAATACCAAAACAATGGATCTCATATTACGTAAGCACGCTGTAAACACAAATGACATCCTCAAAAGGTAAGGTTATAGGTAAGTGTATATATATACTATATCAATAGTTATGTGGTATACTTACTTTAATCAAACATTGTACAATAAGTGATTTAATATCCACATGCTTTGTGTTGAATACAAATGGCAATAAAGGTTGCTTCTCAAAAATACTTATTTTGAGTAAAAAGGGGCAACTCTTAATATCTTCTGTCGGATGATTTATAAGTTGCAGTATGGAATTCGAATCAGCGCTTACATTTTGTGGAATTTTTTGATGAAAATAAAAGCATCACTAGGTAAGCAACATGTCGACCTCTGTGAAAAAATTCTCTACTAATCTCATATCTTATATTTTCATGCAACAATAAGGCTCTACACAATAGAAAGTGTTGTTGACATGACAAACCTTTCCATCCTTATCCAGAACCCATCCAGGAGATAATGGCTGACCTTTCCGTACTTGTAGCTCAACCTGAAACATACATATTTTATTCAGCTTCTATTTTGAAATAATCCACAGAAAAAATTCTTTGGTGGCAAGAAAGAATGCATATAAAACGTCTGTTGATTGATCTTATAACATCTCATGCAAAATTACAGCTGACTGCAGAATAATAATCATTTGTCTTAATTCTATCTCCTTTGATGAAACGGTTTTATTCACAAATGAATCTGCTCTTGTATAGTCTATTACTTTATATTTTTTAAAAAGGCAAGTTTTGAAAAAAATACTAACCTTCCCCCAGGCTACATTGGAAGTCGCCATATCTAAAACGAAGCTGTCACCATTTTTCCCTGGAGCTGCCATACACACCGGATTTGTTCCTAATGTTCTCTGAAGTTCAACAAATGTGATTATTGAAAGCGCGTCGGTTTCTCTTTTTGTATTTCAATCATAAAAATACCATTAATGGAATGTCAAATGTAAACGCTGGAACGTCGGAAAGCTTACGTTAAAAACAATGAATCTTACATATAAAGAAGAAAACAATGACATGTCGATGTGTTGAAGACAGAGAGAAGCTTGAAATTATAGAAAAATGACTAAAAAGGCAATGACCTTCTAATGCTGTATTCCAGATAATAAAGACAATATGAGGTTAATACAGACCACTTTGGACCGTGTTGGTATAATAGCACCGGATGCATTCGTAAACGCCATGCCCTGCAACACGAACATAGATAAGTCTTTATAACTTCCTTACATATTTAAAATAGTCTCTGTGCTAGTATCTTTTTTGTTTTGCCAAAAAAGATTGTAAATAAATTTTCATTCTCTTACATGTAAATTTAAGAACAGTATCATAGAAGATTTAATTTTGCGAGCTAAGGTGAGAAAAAAAAAACAACATTCGAGACTATTTTCCTAATGTTTGTTTTGAAACAGTTCAAATAAACTTTTTATAACGTACCTTATCAAAGTTTCACTATAACAGGTTTTGAAGTTAAACTGTGAAGGATATAATCAAATGGAGGCAGCCATCATGTTGCGCAATTTTCCACTTTTTTATATCACTATAAATTTTCTTACCGGCGATGCCATTGAAAATCGCCAAAAGCTATACTATACGAGCTAATTTACTGGATCACTGGATAACAGTTTAGACAAGTTTATTGTTGCTTAACGTCCTAGATTTGGGTGGTTGAGGAGAGTCGGAGTACCCTGAGAAAACCACCGACCTGCGGCCAATACCTGGCAAATGCCCCCATGTGGGACTCAAACCCGAAACCCAGTAGTTAGTGATAAAGACAACGGTCAGAGGCCTTAACCACTTGGCAACCGCGACCGGATAACAGGTGGATTAATGTGGTGAAATAATCTTATGATAGCATTACTTCCCATGTTATATAGTTGACCTGAATGTAACAGACGGATACATAAATACATGCTTGAAGATATATTGTAAAAATCGACCAATATGCCTAGGAAGAATGAATCAATAAACAGTTTTAGATAGCGGTTATTCATAAACGCCCATTTTAATATATTTGTTATATCACTCAATGTTTTTGACAATATCAACAAACATCTTCTTACCAATAGACCTTGTTCGCACGCCATTAGGCTGTACCATCCTGCTATTCCAAAATGGTTTGAACCTGTGGAAGAATAAAAATGGATACATAATGTAGCAACAGTAAAAGAAAGATAAAAGGAAAACCTGCATTGCTGTAAACCGTTATTTTTTATTCGTTGGTATTGCATTTTACACTAAATTTGACTACAGGAGTTTGTACGAGGGAAATTGAAAACAATGTAGAATAGCTACGTTAATCATTTATCATTTAATCAATTCAGTATGCATACATATGCTGACTGTAGCTACCTTACTTGTGTAGCTAACGTGATGGTAATTTAACAGAAGGTCTGTGGTCTCAGAATTCCTGAGAAAATCACTCCGTTACAAGTGGAAATTAAACATAAAAAACTCGGCTCTTCAGGTGATGTTGCAAAGTCCTAAACTCTACCGACTGAGCTATTGCAGCCCAGCTATATGGACAACATATACTTTAATTGAACACTTACAAAGAATACAAGCTTACCTCGTGCTGTGACCATTCCGATACCGACTTCCTTTGCTTTCTTTATCGCTAGCTCCATGCAAAATTTCCCGACAACAGGTCCTTAGAAACATAAAGGATTAATATGGGATCCTACTACATTTGTCACGTTACTTTTGTCACGTTTTTTTTTCTTTTTTGGTTTCAAAAAAAGGAAAACAATTATAGGGCAGCTTTACATGTATTGTCCTCTGATACACGGACAGGCACCTAAGCACCTCACTTTGACAAAGACAGAATGATTACTGAAAGTTGAAATAAGGTCTTTCAAATAAATGGAAAGGCAATTAATTGATAAATTTCCAAAGTTGTTTTAAGCACACTGTATTAAATGAATCTTAATGTTTTTATATATCAGGATATTTTTGTCGTTTTTAAATCACCATTTACAACTACTAGTTATATAAACTTCCAATTTTAAGGAACCATGACTGCAACGACGGAAAGGAAAAAAGAAATCACATTTCAAAGATATGAAAATGTACGTTGTAAACATTTTCAATTGTTGATTGGTCATTGGTTCCCGCTAGCTGCAGGGCAAATTGCATATTAAAATAATACCACACTATCCGTGTGTTTATTGAAAAAATGTCTGAATTGCTGTATAATTGACCATTTTTATGAAGCTTGAGATAGAATGATAACAAAATTACCTTGTATTTCTTGTTTATTGATCAACTTCATAACTCTCCAGTTAGAAAACGAATATATTATTATACAATTAACAAGTCTTAATAAAGATCAGGGGGAAGTAAGAGGAGCGTTCTTTTAAGATTGGTTTAGGTCCCATTGTTACATTGGGATTTCTTCTGACATAACCCTATCTGAAATAACCTCACTAAGTATGAACATAATTTTATCTACCATAACGATGAAAATATTTTTATCAAATGATTTGAAATACTTGTCGAAGAGTTTTCTGTTTTCCGTTCGGTCTTTAACCGATTCACAATTCTATGAAATGTTTGTAACAAGTCAAAGCATTTGTTCTATTATGAACCAATGACGACAACACGTACCAAACAAGTTGTTCCCATTGACCAGCGCTGTAGCTAAGTTTTGTTTTGTAATCGTTGGTTCTGTTCCTTTTCCTCCACATAGTATACCCCTTTTAAGTTCCTCGATGTAAAATTCTGACAAAGAAGGATACAATTAAGAAATGTACAAATGTCACATGAGTGAACAGTATGTTTCAGTACAGATTTAGTATTAGATACAGTAGTGCCAAATAATTAATTGAAATGCATCAAACGGCTCCTTCGTCCTTTTATGTCTAGACAGTGTTGCTAGGGATCAAAATTTTGAAACTTTGAAGATGATAAGGGGAAAATGAGCGAAATAATCTAATCTAGATTAGAAAGTTCACCAGTCCTAATGTGGTAATGTCGATAATCATTTGTTCTGTTAAAAAATGAAAAAGAAACTGCACACGATGACGATGACGATGACTGTTCACGCTTTTAATGGTCTTTTTCAAAGCAAGAAATACAACAGTTTATCCTTTCATCTTGAAATATTATTTAGCATATATTGGAAAATAGGTTCAATTTTATTGCCATCCGATTACATACTAAAGATAATATTCTAAAGATATCTTGAATCGATCACCTTTGCGTTTTACAATTCTAAACCTATGTAACGATACTTAAAATAATATTTTCGTCATTGATCAAAGGTTTGTAATTTTTCAAGATTTCAGACTATCTGTGTTTTTTATTCTATATATAAAAACCTATAGTGATACTGTGCCTGAAAGAAGTACAACAGTCATGCCCCAGCAGGTTATGGCTATAAGTCACTTGGCATACTCTAAAATATCTATTACATGACATATGGTTGTACATGCATCGAGTTTACTTTTCATTCGAGATAATGAAAGTAGTCTAAGAAATAATCCATTTAAGAAACATTTTGTGGTTCTCTCATTTGTCAAAGCAAAAGTTACACTGAAAATCTTTTCATGACGATATGACATTTTGAAATGCATGCTTAATTTGGCTTGAGAGTTGAAGTTGAAGGAACTGGAAATCAACCACAGTTCCGTTTTGTATCAAGTAGCAAATGTTCACAACACAGTTACTGTTTATAAAAACATTATTGGATACCGAAAACCAACTATTTTTGCGTATTTCGCGGGCAATGAGAATATTTTATAAAATTATATCGGAGCAGACATTTGTTATCGGAAATATGCAAATTCCACTAGCATAGGTTCACTAGATCTTTCAAAATACAGACAAGTATTCTAATGTAATAACATAAAAATGTGCAAATCTGTATTTGTTAAATAATATTGGAATATCGATAGATTATTGTAAAAAAAAACATATGGAATTGATTTGATGGCCTGCATCAAGCACACATTGCACCATGCCAGAAAGATAGATAAAATAAGTTTATAAAAGCTAGAGCGTATTATCTTCCAGCTAACAATGCAAGAGGTCGGTTTGACCCACATACGATATTGAATTATCGCAGTTTGATAAATATTCTTACCTAGTCTGTTTACACCATGACTGTAGTGTCCTCTGTAATCAGCAGTTATCAAACAGTCCGCAAATGTCTTCGCATATGTTTCCTCAGCACCAGCAGTCGTCAAACATCGTATCACAAATCCATGTATTTCTTCTCTGGATACGACGATTTCACCTGAAGCGGCGGCCGCCATCGTGCCTCAGTAGATATGCAACAGGTCACTTTGTAAACTAAATGATTACCCGACACGTCAGAGTACAGGCGGTGTCATCACTAGAGATAACATTTACTGAACCGACCTACATGTATTACATCACACGCTACTCCATGTAAAATGTATAGCTGTTGAAATTCACACAAACTTAGCCTAGTTTCCCCACCCTCATCCCCACCCCAGGAACTCCAAAAATTTAAGAAGAAGAAAAAAAAGGGGGAATTGTTTTTGTATTGTAATCAAATGCTTCACTAACAAAACCATAGATATTTGCTATTCAGACCTTCCAGCTTTTAAGGCCACTAGTGAGCAGTCCTCAGCGTGGTATTAGTGGTAAAGTTTCACCAAGTATCGTTTACATGGCTCATGAAAAATTACAAATGAAATTCCGAATATCTAATATTGACATTATGCACAAACAAAGAACAACAAAGATAATATCTACTTGTCAAATGGAACTTAATTCAAACTCAAATTCTATAAAACTAAAGCAAAATATAAATAAAAGATAGATCTACAAGGGAACCCAAGAAAACGTTCAAGGAGAATAAGACCAGGCGGTTAGGGGAAATAACCACTGTTTCATGAGGACTACAAGGCTATTCGGTATACAAATGCGCATTTAATACTTCCTATGTCTTATACACAATGGTATAGATTATTTCCAAATGAAATTATTATGATGGTCATTCAAAATTAGCCCCATCCTTATAACAATTATCTTTTGTCTTTATTTTCCATTGACAATGAAAACAGAGAAGGGGACAGAGACCGAGGAAAAACAACTCCTATCACATACAAAACAATTCAAAGTCGTTCTTTTCAACATTGCAAACTATCGCTGAAATGCCAAAAAAATTTTCGTGCTCTATTTGATCAGCAGCTGATGTATTTACTTTCACAATCTCAAGTCCAACACGTTTTATTATTTATCAAGGAAACATTACACATTTTTGGCAATTATACTTTAGTGATCTGATATATATCATTTATTATATAGTTAATAAACAAGAAACACACAAAGTAGTTAAATATGTATTCATAAACATTCCACAAAGAGAAACACTTGAAAAAAGAAATCACCCATACACATGTACAACATATAAATGCATAATAACTAGTACCCACAATATTGATTAAACATAAAGAACATCTATTCAAACATGAATTTTGAACACTACGAAGGTGGATATGATAGGCATTGTGTCCATGCTATCAGATGTTCTACATTCAGTGTTTTAAAGGTTCCACGCCTAGACGTTTTGCGATTTCATCCTGTACAAAGAGAAAAAGAAACATTATATCACTGTCATACTGTTCACATCACGTTTAATAACGTAGGTAATGTCTGGTCTCTATTTGTTAATGTGATTTGAGTTAAACTAAATACCAACATGTGTTTCAATTTGATAATGTGATTTCATACAATAGGATTGGCAGTATACAAGTATATATGATAGCAGCCGAGGATATTGATCACATGTAAATATAATTGAATATATTCATTAATGGCTTTCAACGTTTAAATATTTTAAAGATTTAAATACCAAAAATTTCATCTGGTTCGGGTGGTACGGAATGCCCTTTAACTCATCACACAGTGCCATGTGTTGTCGCTCTGGATCTCCCGCCACCAAAACATTCCGTTCAGGTTCCATCTAAAAATTAACATCACATTTACGATGTGAATACCTGATAACCATTCGTGAAAAAAACACTACAAAAATTCCTTTCTGTTTGAAATTATATTGAAATTGTCGTATTATCTTCCTTTCTACCTCTTAGATAAAAACAAAATAAAAAATATTCTTACTTCTTGATATAGATTACAATGTCTAATACAATGACCAACTTAGTTATATATGAATTGAACAACGATGGCTCTTTTGAATTGTTTTTACATAGTGATTTCATTGAACAGAACTATTCTGTTTATTTGTATGACATGAATTTGGACGTTTTTGATGCTCGTTAGTTCGCTTGTTGCCGTTGTTGTAAACCTTATTCTCATTTGAGAACGTGACATCATTAACTTGGATTGACCAAGGTTTACATGTCGTTTACATGTGTCGTCGATAAAGCAGAAGATGCTTACTCTTCCGGAACGCCTGTTCTTATTATCCTTGTACATGCTGGTATTTTCTTAGAGTTTTTTTTTTACGTCGAAGATAAAATCGAATGGGTTTGATTCACTAATGTCATGGACATTTTAGACATATTGTAAATAATTGTAAATATATTAATCATTTAATTAAATACTTTCATTAACAAGTAAAATGTTTACCGGTTCGAGATTCCGATTGTGGTCCATTAGGCTCTGCATTCTTTCCGTGAAACCGTCTGCAAATGCTGCAGGATCTATGGCTAGGAAACATTGACCCTAAAATAGGATTGATATATAAGGTTAAGATAAACGAATACAAAAGTAACACTGTGTTTTTATCTTAAACGAAACGAAACCTGCGAGTGAGAATCCTTAGGTTATTTTGTGGTAAAAAAACTATGAAAATGGCTGCATAATCATCCTAGAGAGTTGTGGAGACGTAAAATCCTGTAACCAACCACCAACTAGCCAGTGATCATTTAACAAGGACATTTCCAAATAATGACTTAAATGAAATGGTTAAAGCCATTATTGTTTTGTTAAAACATCATTCTGAACTTACAAGGTTTGCCGGTCTATCATATCTTTTCCATTTCCTAACAAACGCACTCATCTCTGCCCCTGACAACACACTGGTGAGAACTTCTATCATCATCGCCAGGCCGTAACCTTTGTAACCACCTTAACATAAAAACAATAAAATAACAACATGTCAACATAATCGAAATCCAACTCAACCTTAATTAAACTAGGGCAAGATATGAAAATCCTGAAACAAAACAAAGAAGATAAGCCCAAGTTTTCCGGAATAGAAAAGTCCTTTGCTTCGGCGACGAAGCACGTCATTTAAATCTTGGCCTCATATCTCGAGGACCACCAGCATCAGCAATCTCTAAAATTATTCATGTTTAACAAAACAACATTGATTCAATAAGTAACAGTTTATAGTATATTTGTGTCGCATACAAATTATGCGTTCAAGCAAACATAAAATTAGCCCATTACAGTATTTCAGTGACTGTATGATAATGGTTATGAAATACTAATTCTGACAAGTTGTTTTCATTAAACTTACATGTTTTTAAATTGGCTTATTATTCGAATCCCTGTAAATGATGATAGGTTTTTTAGATCTATGTAAAAACAAATTTCTTCCGGTATGAAATAAGGAAAAATATCAAAGATTACTTTGATTTTGAAATGTTATCTTATCAGCGAAATATTCAATTTATCTGTAGGACTTTTCGTCTGTCAAGATTGAAATGCCTCTAAACATTTCATATATATCATTAATTACTTAGACAGTGACTGTCGGTCACCAAAAGCATAGAAGACTGCCTTATAAAGTAGGGAAAGGACTTCACTTGGCTCCTTTAAATGTGTTTGACAATCTATACTCTCGTAAACAGCCGGTAACTAACGGAAAAAACAATAATATGTATCTAGGTACAAATGATACACAAGTGAATAACACTTTTCAGTAATTAAGTAACTTTCACATGTCTAATTATTAAAAAAAAGATGTCAAGAACATGTTTATGAATTAAACATGGCATACAGGTTACGACTACCAGCAGTGTCTACACAAACAATCCCTAAAAGTGTACACACCCAATGAGTAACACCTTTTAATGCAAATTCAGAATAAGAGTTACGTTACAATACCTACAAACGCCACACACCTATACATAAATGTTTAAATATATAATTAATGTATGATCATATCCATCACATGATAATTATCTACACGTGGTGTATTTCCGACCTTAGCTAACTTACTGCTCTCTTCAGGACCTCCTAATGGCTGCAATCCTCCCACAGCTGACATATCACACGTGTCCTTGACAACGGTAAACAAAGTGACAATTTATTACTAATGCTAATTTACTGTTATATATCTACACCGATAGCCCTCTGATAAAATGATCTGAGGTTGAAAACAAATAATTGAATATCCTCTCTATTTCTGAATACACTCTAAATCACGAAACGGAAGTTTTAAAACATCATGGAAGTAACGCTATCCGGAAATGGCACACACGACTCTCACCAGGCAGCAAACCAGTGACATCATCAACTGCTGTCGTTTACTTGATTCTGAAAACGCATCTGTTATAATTTGGTTTGTCGCTGCATTTATTTTTTCCTTCTGAAATCTTGTACAATTTGTTTGAACAGATACAGTAAATGTGTCAGTGTTGCTTTCCTTCTTTCAATAAATCTGTCGCACCAATATAGCACAACAATATTAAACCAGGGCGCTTATGATCTCAACAAATTTTATTAAAGCGAAAGTGAAAAACAAAAAAGGAATCCTATGCAAATTACAGTTTTATTGTTCCTATTGTTGCTGAAAAAAACTTAGGTTTACAGCAATCAATCATTCTCCTTACCTTTCCATCTTTATCTAAACCCCATCCGCTCGGCAGCTCCTCACCTTTCATCGCCTTCATTTCAAGCTATTCGGTCATAAAACACAATAAATAACAAAGAACTAATGACAAAATCAGACCGGAGAGAGGAGGACACGGAGTGATATAGTGCTATTACCTAAAGAACAAATAAACAATTGAAATTAGACGCCAAGGTTAGTTAGGTTTTCCGACCATGAATGGAAGCAATCTGTTCAATAATAACGAGGTAAACTACAGACTTTTCGGAAGACCATGTACCAAAACCTAATATGATAAAGACCTATTATTGAAATTTTTTGAATGAGACTCATATTCATGTTGTGACATTTAGTAGGTTACCTTTCCCCATGCTACAGTGGTGCAAGCCATGTCCAGTGCGAAGGTGTCTCTATCCTTACCAGGGGCTGCCATGCTGATGGGATTCGTGCCAAGAGACCTCTGCATGATACAGTATAAATAATGTTTATATATTTATTTACATTTTCGACCATTTTTTATCAATATTATTTTGATATCATGTAAGTGATATAGGAAATGAATAAAATATGTCGCACTTAAAAGGAAGAACATATAGTCAGTTCCTAAAATGTAGTTATTTTTTTACTGTTTATCGATAAACAGTATACATTATTGTAAAGAAAAGTCTTACTGATTTTGCCCGTGTAGGTATCATTACTTTGCTGGAATTCGTCATTGATATACCCTGAAACACAAATATGGCTTACAAGGAAATACTGTACAAAACATGCGATCATTTTGTGTCTTTAAAACCAAATACTCAAACTTCCAGTACTGGATTTAAGATTTCGTTCAACAAGTCACGTTCGAGGAGATTAATTGCACATTAACCATGCAATATCCGTACCAGCTATCAATCAAAACTACTTATTAATAAGTATATTTCTTAACAGTGTATCTTGTGCGGAAATCTGTGTATACAACTATTGAAGATTAGATTAAATAGAACCATGTATGCTCTTTATATTGACAGGTTATTGAAAGAAAGAGAAATGATGAACTCAAAGTTCAACAAAACCATAAGCAGTTGATACATTTAAAGAAATAAAGAGTCCAATCTACTAACCAAAAGGCCTTGCTCTGTTGCTCGGAGACTATACCAGCCAGCTATCCCAAAATGGTTGGAACCTGTTGGCAAATGAATAGATATTACCTCGTGAGAAAATGAGATGCAAAACGTTCGATCATTAACAAAAGGTTGTTTAATGTTAAGAAAATAGATGCATTATTTTAGTTTAAACATTCATTGCTCACGTCTGGTGTGTGAGATTCGTTATCAATTTCTACCCTACTTAAAAAAATCTCAAGTTATATTTCCTTCTTCAATTGACCCGTTATAAAAGACGTCACCTTTGCAGATTTGTTCCCTCTATTATCTGTATCAACATTTTAAAAATTGAATTCTGTTTTAAAGTTTCATTTATCTATTTTTTTGATGTTCGGCGGAGAAACATTTCTTTCAGTAACATGCCCTAAGATACCTTCCTGAAAGAAGTTACCATCTACAGTATGATGATATAATGGTTATTGATAACCTGTATATGATTTGAAATTTAAGCTTAATTATCCTCTGATGATTTTGAATATGTTGCCTATGTCACTATCCTTACCTCTGACAGTGACGATGCCAACACCGGCCGTTTTAGCCTTCTGGATAGCCACGTCCATTGCATATTTTCCTACTACCGGTCCTGAAGACAAACAACCCTTCTATAACATGCTTTGAATATGCGTCGATGTTATATTTATCTGTCGCCCAGATACATATAAAAATGAAATCATCATTTCTATTATTGTTAATACTATCTTAATAAATTTCATATTTAAATGATCATCTGCTTTAAATGTGAAAAAAAAAAACATGAAGAAATTCTTGTGAAACTAAAGGTAACAGTAAGTATGATTTGTCTCTTTTTATTTTTTTTACTAAATAAGTAAATCGATAATTACTAAATCAATAATTACTAATATGATAACTAAAATACCCAATAAATTGTTGCCATCGATAAGTGCTGTTGCCACGGTTTCTTTGATAATAGTCGGCTCCTTTCCTCCTCCACAGGTAACTCCATTCTTTACGTCTGCCGTGTACGCATCTATAAATATCAGTACCTGTTATTATTATCGCTACCTCCAGAAGGCATTATAATGAAATTCACACCTCCGATATCTAACTTGATTTATGAAGTAAAATAAGATAGCAGATTTGTACATGCAAATTGACGAGCATTTGGATACTCTTAGACGGACATTGACCATCTGCTCACTAGAAATGACCACATATTTTCCTCATATCTTCTAATGTATTTAATTGACTTATATTTGCATTTCGCATTTTAGCGGGAATTACACATATCCAACCTTTCCAAGACAACTACAACTGAGAATTATAATGCTATAAGGTAAATGTAAGTCTAAAACATCGTCTCTGATAAGTTCAATTTACTACATATCACGTAAGATTGCAAATTTCCGAGCTCTATTCCATTTTTAATATGTTAGGTGAAAATGAGATACAATATGTAACGCTTACATCAATAGGTTTGAAACAGCGTTACGTCATTTTCAAGAACTCATTTATCCTCAAAATATCACTTTACTGTATTTTAATCGATATTTTGCGTAATGATTTACGGAGCTGTTTGATGTATATATAACGTTAATTCGTTGTTTAATGTATAGGATATCTTGAAAGTTACCTGTACGACATAGTCCATGAGTGTAGTGTCCACGGTAATCCGCGGTAACGAGCAGGTCAGACATAACCCGTGCGCTCTCCTCGGTTGCCCCGCTAGCCATCATACAGCTGACAACAAATCGGTCCAGCTCGGCCATACTCACGACGATCTCGCCCGTCTCCTCCATGCTGCTGTAAAAAATGAATGAATTGTTCTCCAACACAGTATAAAAACACACCAGACATTAAAAAACGGACATATTTTTACACATACTACTTGTCGTGGCATGCAACAATATCCTTCACAGATGTCACATTGATGTATTCATACTCTATATTTCATGATTTATCTCATCTAAATAACCTGATAAAAATTTAATTTACCGTAGCGGTACAATTGGGTCAACATTTAGCCCCCACATTTTTTTATATTTTCGCCGTATGTAGAGACATGAAAATAACCTTCAACCGCATAAATGATAAGTCATTATAACAACTTATAGTCTTACTGAATTTCCTGGTATAAAGAGGTTTAGTAACAAACGTGCACTAACATAAAGACAAATACTTGCTACATGATAATTTTAAATGAAAATAATTATATACCAGTCTGAAGTACATGAAATGTCCGTTATTTTGATACCACATTTGTTATATTGGCATAAAAATGTAAGCATATTGATAGCTTTGATTAAAAAAAAATCACAAAATAAAGAATATGTCAAAGTTTGTCAAGTTCATTTTGTATCACAGTATATATTTCATACTTCTTTAAAATCTTTCTACGTATATATGCTGTCTATTGAATAAATTTTAAGTGATTTCAAAACCGGTAAAATATCTTTTTAGCAATTTAAACATGCTTATTGCATAATTTGCCATAATCATGAAGATTTGATTTTCGTTGTTTTTTGTGCCCAATACTGCTATATTTTCCAGTTTTGTGTAGTACCAAAGCACATTAAGTATTTTGTAATTGTTTTAAGATTAAATTCAGTAGGTATAACTTAACATGGTGTTTCCTGCACTAGAAATATATCCTCTAAAGACAAATTGACAGTTTAGCTTGTATCATAAAAAATCAGTATTACATGTTATCGTAATTCCACTTTTCTTCGTTTATTAAACGTAACAATAATGGATATAAATTAGTTAGATATTCTAATTAATAATTAATAAATAAGGCCAGAAATGATAACCTTGTCTGACACCTGAATGTACAAATATGTTAATTTCCTAAAGCATATAAAGGTATTACTATAAAGTATTCATACCATTTTTGCTAAGTATCTATAGACAATTACATAGACAAAGTTACACTTATGGCAGACATTCTGTATTAAATTCAAATTACTGCAAAATCTCACATCAAGTTTTCTAATAACCATGTCAGACGTGTGCATAGGTCGTGGTTGCAAAACCAAATTGAAAGATTTATCTCCAGTTGCCTGAGCCCAAGTAAGACATGTATATTTACCCCAGTGTAACTGGCTGTACCAGCTGCTGACTGCTGGGATCATTAACATAACAGAAGAAAGCATACTATGTGGAAAGTGCTACAAGCGGTACCTTAAGCAAAGGCTATTGCAGTCTGAATTGTATGAACCTTCTGGTATGAGCAATCTCAGAAATGATACTGCCTTAACAAGATGTTTCTACGGGGACAAAGAAACTGTAATCCTTGATGTACCCATATATATGTCCAAAAAAGTGCTGATCACCCCCTTCAAAGATCCTCATACTGTGGGCAAAAGAAGCGCAACTATGTTAAATTAATGATCATTGTCTTTCCAAATGGTTATGCACTATTTGGCATTTTTATGGCAAATGATGCAAATATCTTAACAAAAAATCTTAGTTGAAAACCTGACATTGTGGCTCAGTAAAGATGACAATGTGATTGTTAGGGATGTGATGGAGCTGCTGCGAAGTTCAGGGTTTTCTGTGTACATACCTTCCTATCTTCTATCAGGTCAGACACAACATCATACACTTACTGCCAACGCGGACCGCCAGTGTACTAAGTCAAGATGGGTTGTGGAGAGCTACCATGGTCGACTGAAACAGTGGAAACAGTTCAGAGAACAACTTATCTCAAACAACTTCCTTAGTGTCTCAGAGGAACTGGTTAAAGCAGCTACTGCTTCCTTGAATGTTGTACGTGGACCAATTTATGTGTCCACACCAGAGAGGGACTTGAGGGACCGTCGCCTTGCTGAGCGAATGCAATCCGGTTTGGCTCTGCCAACCATCAAGGGTTGCAGATGAACCTGACCTTTCTAGGCGCAACAAGGCCAACTGGGTGAAACTTGATGCCTGTTCAATAGAGTTTCCAGTACTGGATATGGAATATTTAGAAACAATAACCTGCAGATCATACTAGTTGAAAGGAGCACCTAGATATATTGCTAAGCATCTGACTCCTGCTGGAGACTTTGAAGTTTGGTTCTATCAGTATGATGAAAATCTTCTCCGAGGCCAAATCCATTCAAGGCACAAATCACAGTCAAAATACTATGTTTGGATTGCGTTTGACAGAAATTATCAAGATGACCCTGTCAAAGATTACTACTGTGTCTGTCCAGCCGCAGAGCGAACCGTTGAAATGTGTGCACATGTTGCGTGCATCTTGTATTTCTTGGGCCATGTTTAGCATCAAGATCAAACTAACCCAGACCATGCAACTCTCAAGTTCAAACAAGCAATCACTTGAGCACTTCTGCTATACTTAAACGCAATGTAATGTGCTGCAAACTGATCTATCTCTTATTAGCTTCTCAAAGTGCCACAAATTATGGATCGGAACTGACAAAGACAAAACCCGTCATTATTACTGTACATAATCTGTCTAATAAGGTCACTTTATTGACCTTCATCAAGAGATTTGTATAAAGCTAAATCTTCAAATTGTGAAACTTGCACAAAAATGTCTTTATTTTAACAAATTTCATTTGTGTGACCTTGTACAGAGGTCAAGTTCAACAATGTTAACCAAACTGATACAAATTGACATGAACAACCACCTTGTCAGATAGCAAGACCTACAGACTTTTGGTTATTAAGCTGTCACTATTTAACGAAAATGATAAAAAAAATCAGTGTTTCTTGGTTTTTTCAAGCAAATGTGTAACATGACAAATTTACCGGTTTTCATTTTTGCCGAGAATCCTCCTTTTGAAAGATATCATCTGTGGCCAACTTTTAAGCAAGTATGAAAAATAGACTGGTTTCGGAAGTATTAAAATTGAAGTGTCCAAAACAGTACTTTTCTCAAAAGTAATGACTTTTTATATGAATTTTGACTGCATTTTTCAACATAAAAGAAACGATTCTCCCGAAATAGTGTGATATGTGGTATCAAAATGTTGGTTGGTACTATTCCATAAGAAATCAATTCCGAGTCAAACTTTTCCGTATTTAAGCTTCTGATACCCATATCTGTTTATGGTTATCGTATTTTGAAATTCCAAGTGGGGGCTGATGCTTATGTTAAATTCCCATATATGTTGTCCCCACCTTTGCCTTGACAAGACCAAGAGAGGGTGTCGTCGATAAAGAAGAAGAGGCTTACTCTTATGCACATCTGGTTTTTTTTTCAAATTTTCGAAAGTCTCCGTGTAATTCATTCTTTTATTTCTAGTTTTGTTCCAATTTTATCGAAATTGAGTTTGGAATATTATCATGTGCACATGTTCATTTATTCTTGCTGTTTTACATTATACAGTTAATTAAACTGCATCATACAGCTATTTCGTCCTTTTAGGATTCGTCAGTGATTTAGAAGGCATCGTGTGAAATCGAAATCGATAAATCGATAGGGATGAATGTAAGGATATAGATAAGAAACAACGCTCATATGTGAAGATGGTCTGTTTTACATTTGTCACCTGAAACCAAAATAAGCGTTGTTTACAGAACTGAAATTGTTTGTAAAGGATGAATACGATATCATATTAACAAACATAATATTTATCAAGTATTCACATATCAATGTTTTTTTGATGATTTCATCCATGTATATAACATAATATGCTTAATATTCTAAATGCCAACTCTTTATCATCCGTAGTCGGCTGGCAAGGTACATATAGCTAGCATTGGGACGGGCAGGGCTCGATGACCTATATTGTTTTTCCCCACATAATGGAACCCTGTCTTATAGCCTTTGGGCCATAACTCAAACGCAATCTGCATTGAAGGTTTTATATTGGTAAGATTTGAAGTCGCTCAAGGGTATTGTGTTCAAGCGCCTAGCCCAGTTGCAAAAAGATATAGCCTATTGATTAAATTTGGGAAATAACATATCCATCATCACCCATTCTCCGTAGTTTGTATGTCAGAATAAAACATAAATAACATAATATAACAAAATGAAGCAAAATATTTCCTTTATTTAAGAGCATGAGGTCCGCAAATAACATAACAGTTATGTAATCTTGTTAAAAAGTACACATTGTTCTCTGCAATATCCAAATATTTATAAATAATCATATAAATATCTTGCAAGTAAAAATTCCGGTTAAATACAAACCACTCTAACACGACAGTTAAATATTACAAAAGATATCAACGCTTTCAGCTATCCGGTATTACATGTTCCAGAGTGCTCACGCCAAGCTGCTTTGCAATTCCATCCTGTAGGGAGAGAAGAAGTCATGATACTATTGCTGTAAACAGTGTCTAAAGTCAAAAACTTTATCTTTTTCTGATTTAACAACATTTATTAAGATGTGCTTGGATCGACCAAGGTTTACATGGAGGGTTCATCGATAAAGCAGAGGACACTTACTCTTTCGGAACACCTGATCTTCTTCTCTTTGTACTATTTCAGAAGTCTCCATGTAAATCTTTCTTTTGTTTATTTTTCCATGGTTTGGATTATGATATAGTTAGACAATGTCTGTATCTACAGAAGTCTAAATTATATCAAGCATTATACTGACTGAAACTATTAAGAATGCTACTTTAAAGATTGTTTTCGTTTTATTTCGTTTTATCTGAGGTAGAGTGAAATCACAAAAAAAAATTGAAAGGAACACACAATCCATTAATTGACCTATGAAAAAAGCGTTTGCGCTCTTTTGGTAAAAGTCAACCCATACAATGTGCTTTGTATAGATAGAGATGTACGCTTCGAATTCTGTATGTAAGATTGACATGTATCGATATAAATACAAATCAAAACAACATTTTGTATTGATCTGATATACAGATATATGGTAAAATTTGGCTCGAATTGAAAATGAGATATCATGAATATGAATTAATATGAGTATGAATGATTTATCTATAGATACCAAAAATTTTATCTGATTCGGATGGTAGGGAATGCCCTTCAACTTATCACATAGTGCCATGTGTTGTCGCTCTGGATCTCCGGCAACAAGGACTTTTCGCTCGCCATCCACCTGTCAGGATGTTACCAAATGATGGTTTTATCAACATATATGTGTTCAATATTGAACATAATTTTTAAAAAGGCAACTATAACTAGGGCCTATTAAGAGCCAAAGATTCCAGATTATTATTTTTTAATGTCATGACCGCGAATATCGACAGAACTATAACAATGGAAAACAAATTTACTTCGAAGATCGCCAATATGCTACATCCAAGCGAAATGTCATTTTCCATTTCATACGAAATTTATTTCATTTGTATTTACGTTGGCTCGAAAGTAGTATCAGATAAACGAGCTACCATTCAATACATTTATTTATGAAGATATAATGATTTTGCACGTCTGCTTTGCCCCATTAAAATATCGGCTAAACACATGGTGATTAGTCCAGACATATCTCACTTCATGTGAGTCATTTTGGAAAATAAGTAAGCGAATTAGATGCCCAGGACACATGTATATGTACAATCATCTCGCTACTTTATAGACTTTCATACCGGCTCAAGGTTACGATTATGGTCCATTAGGTTCTGCATTCTGTCGGTGAATCCGTCTGCAAAAGCTTCAGGATCTATGGCCATAAAACAGTGACCCTGAAACATGATTTACATCAGATGGTATGTTAACATAAATTGTTGAAACAAAAAATCGTTTTATTAACTTTGCTAACAATTTTGAAAGGTTGTTATTTTAATAGTGATCGCCACTAGTATGTTCTCAATTCTTTAAGGGTTTAACAGTAGTTTGATGGCAAAAACACTCATTTATCGCAAACATTAATACCACTGAGAATTTTAGATCTGGCGACAATCGCCAAAACCCCAAAACCGGTCCACAACCACAATCTGACAATATATATATATATGAAAATTCTGTATAGTAATGTTAGTCGCGTGAGTCTGAATAAGTGACATGATATTTGTCTTGTCATATGTTAATAAAACATGATGAAAATAAGCTAGTCTACGTATATTTAGGAAATTGTTTGGTAAAGTGAATCTAACTATTGGTTTTATTGGTTGAATAAAGGAAAATACATGGTTAACTTACATGTGTAATATTTCTAATCAGATTAAACCGCTACCAAATCACAAAGGCAGAAAATCTATCATTTCTTTCGTCATTTGCAGAATTGCCTCCCCTTTTCCAATTAAGATCTTTGTCATTGCTAAGTGAAACATTACGTTCATGTAGGAAAAACAATATGATAAGATCTTCCAACAAGCTATTGGAGTACTTGCGTAAACAAATTGTACCCCTCTTTAAGCTTGCAACATCCCTTTATCCCCAACCTGTGATGTTTACATGTCACAGTTCATTTGATATTCAAATCTTTTTCCCAGTATCACGATTTCTCGCAACTGACAGACAAATTCACAACACACGGTTTCAAGAGATACAAGTTGATAAAAGAAAATGTTTGATGCCCGTTACTATAACTTATGTTTCGCTATTAACCATGTTCTCATTTGGAGTATATTATCGTTGATGAAGAAGACGCTTTCTCTTCTGGAACAACTTGTCTTATTTTCCTCGATTATTTCCATGAGTCTCCGTGTCGTGTGAATATTTCTTTTTTTTTTTTTTTTTTGGTTCATGTTTTTGGCTCGTTTTATTAACATTGAGGTTGACTCAAGATTCTGCTATCATGTTCGCACATTCTTTGTCTATTTCTGAAATACCGGTACGTTATAGTATCAATGCTAATAGCTATGCAGTTCATGACGAAAACATAAACATTGAACTTACAAGGTTTGCCGGTTTTTCATATGTTTTCCATTTCCTAACAAATGAACACATCTCTGCCCCTGACAACACACTGGTGAGAACTTCTACCATCATCGCCAGACCGTAACCTTTGTAACCACCTTAAAAAACAAAAAAATAAACAAAACAAAAAATTCGAGTACTTTTTTTACAGATTTTAACATATCATAATGAATAATTAATAAGTAATAGATGACTTCTTTTGATTAATAAATGCACGACATCGTAAATTCGAGTTGAATTAACTTTATTGTTGTGAATGATGAATAACGCATAGACAAGGTAATGGCAATAGAAAGAATATTTCATTACATTTTCCCCCGCGAGATATAAGATTGATCAATTTGATAAAGACGTATATCATCATTCAAGTCCGTATTTCTGATATAGCTTCCGAAATTTTGATCTATCAGAGCGGTGCTTTCTAGTCACTACATTGATATTCTCCGATTTTCCCGTTCAGTGGAAATTTTATTTAGATGGTTTTCCATCACATGATTCCCGTGTTCTTTTTCTGGTTTTTCTTTTATTTGGTATATATTAACAGTTTTGTAAGAGATCCTTACCAGATTACAACATAACGCAACCTATTTAAAAAGGTATCGGCTTGTCAAACGTAACGTTAAAATATCTGACGTTAAAGAGTGCTCAGCGCACAACATGAAACACCTTTTATTGAGGAGCTTAGTCTGACCAGAGAGACGTGTTGCGTTGACTTGGAACATTGAAATTTTAGCCATTCTTCCGTAATCAAATCTTTCACCTTCAAGAGGTACCTGTACATGGATTAATTGGCCTTCGCTTCCACTAATGAGAACACGACGTGTAATTCTAGTTATCTTATACTGAAGAAATTGACCTACTGTTCTCCTCTAGTCCTCCTAGTGGCAGCAATCCGGCCACATTAGACGGATCAAGTGTTTCCTATACAAAGTTAAACAATATATATGTATTATGTCAATAAGCATCGTTTATTCATGACACTCATTTGTGTTCATTGAATTTTCATATTTATTTAATAGTGATTGAACGGTGTCTTATTGAGTTAACGGTAATATCGAATACAATGTTGAGCTTACCTCAGTGCACTACATTTGGAATTTGAAAAAATCGACAATTTAATACAAACATTTCCATAACTTAATCCATTTTGAACATTAATTTAACTCCGATTGCTAAGTAGTGTAACAACGTATGATTGGTAGCTATTGTAATATAGTTCCACTGACTGGTCGCATCAGAGGTGGTATGGTAAGAATTGTTGTCCTTTGATTCTACACTATCAAACTAAATATAGTCTCTTAAAAGGCTTCGTAAACCAGCCTCAACTTCATGTACATCAGGTTAAGTAGGCCAGTACTATAACCGACTTAGTATTGAAGTCCAACAAAGAAACATATACATATAATTGAAAGGAACGCCTTGATTTAAGATACATCACTCAAAAAACATACTCACGTGGCCGTCTTTGTCGGTAGCCCAGCCGTTAGGTAAGGTCTCACCCTTCCTCTGCTTCAGTTCAACCTACGTTATATATCAGAAGTAAAAACAACGTCCATAACTGATATCAATTAAACATCCGTTCTTAGACATTTACAAAAGATTTTGTTATCACATTTCCCTATACCTTATTTCAGAATTATCATTCTATATCAGTAGTCATACTTTATCTTTGAAATGTTTGCCGTTATCACGTAAATGCCTGTTAAGGAGGACTGCACAAAAGATGCAGGTGAATAACACATTTAAATACAAAGATATAACATAGCCAAATAATGAATTAGTGAAAACTACACGACTTAAATGGTTGTTCTTCTTTGATTCGTTAGCGATGTTAGGGGCCAAAAGTGTTGAAATCTAGGAATATTCAAATTAATCTTCGAAATGTTTTCTCATATAAAACATCTAAAAGTCATATCAAGTAAATATCGTACCTACCTTACCCCAGGCCACACTGGATGTGGCCATGTCTAGAGCGAAACTGTCCCCGTCCTTCCCAAGGGCCGCAAAGCTAATAGGGTTTGTGCCAAGAGATCTCTATTAAAATACAAATTAAAAATACTTTCATTTACAAAACGACCGTGTTCAATTTCTTCGGGTTGGTAATGTCAGAAAACGAAAGTTTTAACATTTCTCTTTAGATAATATCGGGGAGTTTGAGAAAGCATGTTGTCCTTCTCAATGTTGTTCTTCCTTCATGGAGTTTGATCGATTGTATGCAAGCCGCAAGTTCAATTGAGTAAAAACAAACCGACATTCACACTTTCCCGCTTCTTTTATAACCATATTAAGTTCTTCGTGATCATAGAAACTTACGGTTTTGGATCGGGTTGGAATTGTCACCGATGAGGAATTCGTCATTGACATACCCTGAAATTCATGCGAGCAACACTTGAAATATATAATGCGGAAGTAACATAGGAATAAGTTCTTTCAATTTCTCTTAGACTTCAAACGGATCCCCACTTTTGACGCAAACTTCTCTTTGTCGCAATGGTATGATATGGTATTGATTGGACGTCATGCCGAATGAGTCTATAAAGACGTATAAATATATTCATCGGGCTATAGGTGTATTTAAAGAAAAATATATGAACTCAAAGCATTAAAACTGAACCTAAATAAACAGATGAATAATAAACGAAGTATAAAACCAAAAACCAGTATTATCTATCGTTGAGAATTCTGAGATTTTGTATCATATCAAAATCACTAAAATAAACACATCGATAATAACATAGTGAAAGCAGTTACATTTTACATACTTTGTAAATTATCTTCCTTTTTATCACACGTTACACCTTCTGTAAGTTTATAGAGTTCAACATACACACCAGAAGACCTTGTTCTGTTGCCCGGAGGCTGTACCAGCCAGCTATCCCGTAATGATTTGAACCTGAAACAAAAGCAAGTATGTAACTACGTCAAAGTAGTTTTCCTCTCACACTTTCTATCTTACATCTCTACACAATCACATGTCAACTTCTATGAGGAAATGTAGTAAACTATCGAAATATGACCCAAAACGTGCAGACTTCAATATCAGGTTAAAGAACAGCAAGGGCTTGCAAGATTTATACTATTTATGCTCATTGATTGAATGTGCTGAAGTCTGGAACGCAAATTAGGAAGATGATTAAAGGCCAGAATGTACTTCGTTCAAAACGGGGGCCACCTAACTTGAACTTTTGCTTTAAACAAAATCCAAACCATTCTGCATAAGGGTCTGTGCCTCAAGCCATGGCAGACAAAAACAGTATATTTATCATCATATTATAATATTTTGTCAGTGGGAAGACTTGTAGCACTGTACGCAGCTGTAGACGTTATTGATAACAATGGAAATCACATCATATTAAAATCTAGCTTATCTTCTGTGTGTTTCAACCTAAACGAACCAGCCTATTTTGTTTTAAATTCCGAAACCTTACAAGAACAATGTGAAAGATATTATTGTCGTTTTTATTGTAACATACTTTAACGTTTGATTATAGGGTGGAATAAAAATGATTTGTATGTGAAAAGTGAATATTTTGTATTGCTTATTGAATGTTTCCAAGCAGCAAAGAATATGAACAGAGAAATGAATGCAAAGACGTTCCGGATATGTAATAAAATGGTGAGGGATGGCGAAAGACTAAACACATATGTGTTGAAAATTTTCTTTAAATATCTAAATACATATAATAACTGCGAGATATAAAACTTGGTGCACGTATTCAATAACTAGGTACACAGGTCTGTGTAGATGTGTTGACTCTGTATCAAACATCAGAAACCTAACCGCACATCTCGCTATCTGTGTCACTGCACAGAAAATAGCGATTAATTACACACATAGCATTTATAGTTCATACAGGTGCCCATTCGCCACCTTTGCGCAAAAAAGAAAATTTTCTTCTGTGATCCGATAGGTTATTTAACTCCGAGGAGATAAATAACTTTTTGCCGTGTAGATTAACTATATTTTCTTCCTCGTGGTGACTGACTCCGTCATCTTAAAAAGCAAATTTATTTTCCATTTCCGAATTTTTTTTCAGTGTTTCTAAATTGATTTAATGTTACATATATGATTTCTATATATTTATATATTGTTGATTACTGTAAACTTACCTCTGACAGTAACGATTCCAACACCAGCATTTTTAGCCTTCTGGATAGCCACGTCCATCGCGTACTTCCCTACTACGGGGCCTGCAAAAGGATAAACGTCCCGTAACATTAACATACGGCCTGAGCGTCGCGTTAACTAATTACCTCTCTAATGAAGTACATGTCATTCTTTTTTCATAGGTTAAAAGCTAATTTATCTAACATGGATTTGTAAGAGGAAATGCTAAATGTCACGGTAAAGGTATGTTATAAACAACAGCAGATCAATAACATGGACGACAAATTTTCTCATTCAATGGACAACTGTGTTAAAAAGATAAAATAATTACATTAGATTTACCAGAACGTAAATTAATGTAAACAACCAAAAATTATCTACAACATTTTTTTTTCTCATAAAACAATGTTTTTAGACTTAAATGAGAATATAATAGACAGTGTTCAAGATATACCACATGCAATTTTACAAAATATATCACTCGCATGATTTAGAACAAAAAATTGACAAGATTAATATCATACAGATTACCGTAGATAATTATTTCAAATTTAACTAGTTAATTTTTCATACATGAATAAAATGAATTTAAAATAACTTTGAAATTTGGAAACTAAACTAATATATGGAATAGATATTGAATTATTCTAAACATCATCGTCAAATCTTAATAGGAAAATTAGGACAACTCTTTAGAAACTTGACCATACAATTTTAACAACATAAAAGGATAATGCCCAGTGTTTTTAGTATTTTTTATTTATTTAATTAATTTTCATGTTGAACTTACAAAATTTAAACCCTAAAACACATTTTTATTTTACTTATATCATACGTACCCAATAAATTGTTGCCATCGATAAGTGCTGTAGCTACGGTTTCCTTGACAACAGTTGGCTCCTTTCCTCCTCCACACGCGACCCCGTTCTGGACTTCTGACGTGTAAACATCTATCAAAATTATAACATAATATTTTAAACAATATACACTATCCATTAAGTTGTATTCCTGTAATACCTCTCTAATGATTTCAAGGATTGAAGTTTTTCTGGGGGTGGAGGTATGATCTTGGCAGATCGAGTATCTCAACAAAACACATTAAGAACATACCAACATGGCAACATAATCACAATTCAAATTCCATAAAAGTAGACCAAAATATGAACAAAAGGAAGATTTACACCGAGACTCCTGAAAAAGTACAAAGAGAATAAGACCATGTGCTCAGGAAGAGTAAGCGTCTTCTGCTTCATTGACGACACCCGCCATGTAAACCTTGGTCAATCCTAGTAAGTAATGTCACGTTTCCAAATGCGAACACTATATTCAACAACGGAACCAACAGACAACCTAATAAGCACCAAATACGTCCAGCTTCATGTCGCAAAAAGAAATAAAATATTTCTCAATGAGATCACTATGGCGACCATAAAACTTCCCCATAATTTTCATCAACCTTCATCTTTTGAACCCTTGTGTTAGGAGCTTGTCAGTCATTTGACGAATTAAGCTGAGGAAAACACATGATATATGTAGACATACAGTCCCTGACGTAAACTACGCGTACTGTAATACTATACAACATACATCTATTATGAATATTTTGCTTGTATTATGACAGAGATAGCATTCAATCTTTATAGAGTTTACATATCATCATTTACATGATGCTTCATATTTATTCATGCGAGACGATTTCATCAATATTTTCATTTTCACTGTAATGTTGCTTAATGCTATATTACACTTAAAAATAATTTTAAAACACTTAATATACCTTACTTCCGTTACTTGTGCCAATGGCTAGCTGTCAGATAGAATTGAATTCAGTACTTTCAATGTAATTTTCCAACACATCTTATTCACATTAACACGAAATATTTCCGTTGGAATTTTGGATCAGAAAAAAATGACAGATACTTAACACTTGTACAGATAAATCATATGAACAATTGCCTATTTTTGGTTTCTGACGTGAAAATTTTACGGCATTCGACTTTAAATTGTTCTTAATTTAGTAACGCCCACTCGGCCATTTCACACGCCCCTGTCACGTCTCCTTCCTGTCTGCATTACAACAAGTGAAAATTTAGATTTATACAAGACTGGGTAAAGTTTTGTGAAAAAACTAAGACTCAAACACTGTATCTGATTGGACCATCGATCATTTATCTCACTTAAGGACGCCTTTTTTTTTTTTTTTTACAAAACTCATATTCAAATCAACACAAAAATCTAAGAAGGGGGTGGGGATATTTGTGAGTGATATTTACCTATTCGGTTGAGTCCGTGGCTGTAGTGTCCACGGTAATCTGCAGTAACAAGAAGGTCAGACATAACTCGTGCGCTCTCCTCGGTTGCCCCGCTGGCCATCATACAGCTGACAACATAGCGGTCCAGCTCGGCCATACTCACGACAACCTCGTCCATCCCCGCCATTTCCTACAAGTATATTAACAATACAACGAGTATCATAGAATGACTGTACGACTGTGTTTGAAGTCAACCGTGTTATACTCCATGCATTACTGAAGCTGTAACGACCTGCGGTGGATAGATCTGCGCGCGACACGTGTCATTAAACTTCTAAAAATTCATGAACAATTAAACGAAAATATATATCTATTTAAAATATTCTATCACAAAATCTCTCTAACTCGGATTGGTCACATTCAAGAACACGTTCGGGACATACATCTGCTACTTTGCTTCCTTATAACAAGATCATCTTAAATAATATATCACTCTTTGCAATAAAATCTTTTAATCAATTGAAAAAAAAAAAACACACATAAAATGTAAAGGACAAACCACACGTGTATATAAACACTGTGTAGTGACACCTTTCACATCGTGATAGTGTAGGACTGTCAAACACCAGGCTTTAATTCCATTCACACCTGACCTCTTTTAGCACGCCTATAATGACAATGCATTGAACTACTTCAATTTTCAGGTTGCTTTTTGTCGAAGATAATTTATTTTGTTTACAGTTACTACTTTAAAAAATTCACCTTTATTTGTGTTCTAGATAAAAGAGTTCAATATTTTGCTGAATATCGTTGTTTTTTTTATTCTACATTTAATCTAAACTTCAATAAATGGAATTTGTCATACTTTCAGCCGAGATCACACGTGAACCCGTCGTTATACCTGTGTGTTTAGTGTTATTTACCGAAGGAGTTGAAGCTGAAGGAGGATATCACTACGACTATGATAAGACACAAACCGAATTAACCTCTATCTAAATATAGATGGATATTATGAGTAGTGACCTCAGTACCACCGACAATCGAGTTAGCGTTGTCCTTTATAAAATTACTGAATTCACAATGAAATTTTCATAGTCGTACGTAGCACGGACTCAAGTATGTGTATATCCTGTATTCCCACTTAGCCCACATTATATTTTACAGGTAAAAAATGTGGGCTAGAAGGAACTGGTGTGTGTTTAAGAACAATGGATTTTAATTGTCTTAAAAGTATAGTCTCTTTTATAAAAATCAGTACAGTTTACATGATATATGTATATAAGGGTAAATCTTTGATATTTTCTTATATATTTTTTTAACTTAAATGCATTGCAAAATTATTTCACGAAAATAGAAATATTCTCACTTTAACAGCAATATTGAAATAAAAACGTATACATCAATATTTAGACTATACCGAGACATGTCTATCACAGAGGCAATGTCGGTCATTATTATGATCTGAATCACTAACGATATTCAAAGGGAATTTTTAATGATTATACCTCATAAATGTGTGTGATTTAGCATCATACATAATACACATTCATGTACATCGAAGCATGGGTGTAAGATTTATAGGTAAATACACATACACTACATGCATGTGTGCTGCGGTTTCAGGCAGTACATCTGTGCACACCGTAGAACATGTAGAATATACATACATGTGTGTTTATGTCTTACTGTCAAGATTGTGCTCAATAGTTTCCCATATCTAAGTACCTAATATCATCGTTTCTTAATTGTTGTAGATAATATTTTTATTTTGTTTTATCGCGGGAAAATATCACAAGAAAATATTATTAATTTGTATATCAAACACCGCGGACTGTTGCAAGACTATTTTTCAAACAAGTACGAGGGGTTCCGAAAGGAGTTACGATCATGGGGTAAACATGAAGTATGAGGTTGACACTTAAGTTGATAACACCGTACATACGTACCCTTTTGACCCTACAACGTCCCGGAGTGATACAGGACGGGTTTGCTTCAATCCTAACACCACTTAGAAAGATGACGTCTCAAGGACAAGGCGTGGTCGCCCGGGAGGAGTTGCACAGTTATGTGGTGCGGTGTATGGAGGCGGTAGGGACCAAGAGGGGGCACGCAGAAGCACTTGCCGATCTTCTGGTGTCGGCCGATTATCGGGGTCACTACAGTCACGGGCTCAACAGATTAGGTACGCTTCAATGTCGCAAATACATAATATTGTACACAGCGTGTGGGTTTCCCCCCTGAAATTGTCTTGTTGTCATTCCTGCTGTAGGGGGAGGGGTGTACAATATTATATACGCAGGTACTGTTCAAAGTATATTTAACATATTATGAGTGACTATTATCTACGTTAGTACCTATGATAAAGAACGATATATAATAGCAACTAACAAGAATGATAAAGTGTGATCGGTACCTGTGTGTGTACACATTATTTTGTATCAATTTTAGGAAATAATGACTTGAGCAAGTCATAATCCCGTATCATTTTATATAACAATGCATGTAATTTAAATACATGCGATTGTATCAACAACAACATACATATAGTTAATACCAGATGTTTGAAAGAAAATGTTATTTTCAGTATTCGATGTGTTTTTTCCCGCACATGTTTTTTGTCTACACGCTAAAATGTACATGTAATTGTTCTATTTAATTAGCCCACCATCATCAGATGGCCGCTTATCGACAATTTAGTGTCCGTGGTCCGTCCGTCCGTTAATTATTTTTCTTATTTATTCTTGAGAAGTAGTTGATGAATCTCTTGTTGTCTCTATTTCTTCAGAAGTACAAAATGGATTTTCTTAGATTTCATATGTAGGGTCCCCACGGTCCCTTGTTGTGCCCATTTGATTTTGGGTCTGATCAGAAAAACTTAATGGCGTATTAGCGGCCATCTTGAATTTTGACTTTGAAAGTTTATTATCGCTATTTCTTAATATCTACTGTATAGATCTTTCTCACATTTCATTTTAAGACTAATCGGAAAAACAAAATGGCCGACAATCTTGGATTTCGCCTAATAAATATTGTTATCTCAAATTCTAAAGAAGTATTGAATATATATCTCTCAACTTTCATACGTATGTTCCTCTTGGTGTCTCCTCGTGCCCGTTTGAATTTGGGACTTATCAGAAGAAATAAAAATGTTATTCAGACGGCCATTTTGGATTTTGCAGGTAAAGATTATTGCAATTTCTGTAAAGGAATATTCAAATGTCTTATAATTAAGAGCAAAAACAGAGAAGAGAAGGGAAAAGATCTTAGTTTCAAAGAGCAAATAAAGATCAAACAATGGTGGGGGCTAAGATCACTCTTAAGACTGATTAAAGCCTGATGTTGTATAAGGTATGCAAAGTACATGTAGATACATGTGTCATCAGCTGGTATATATGGTCATTAATATGCAGGTCATGACAGTAGGTCATAACCTACATCAGATATACTTGAACAGCCTGGTAATAAGAAATGTGATACTGTTACAGTTGTTATTGTCCCTTAAATTTTGTAATACTCGTTATCATTATATACAAATGATGGTCTCTCTCGCGCGCGTAGTGATATGACGTTAGGAATATAACGTCATCTTATATTACACACTTGACTCGAATTTCTTTCGTTTTAAAATTCCTCCGCTAAACGTAGTCCATGTGTCAATGAGATGTTGGTGCAAATCTTTGTAAAAGAATTGAAATTTTCTTTTACGAAATCTCCGTAGAAATAAACTTGGAATTTTGTGTTAGCAAATGAAGTATTTAATATATGTGAAATATTGTAAGCGTGTTTTTCGTTTTTGTTGTTGTTATATCATGAAGACTGAAAGAATGGTGGTAGTTTTGAGATAGGCAAACATAAGTGTTCTCGTTGTTTTTGTGTCTTTGAACTTAGGAATGGATGATAAAAAACATATTTCGTTTAGGTTTTACTGGGGACAACTTCAATTTAACTCGATAGATTTTACAATTTACAAACTGACACAATTTAGATTTGCCTAAATTTGGCAGTTTAAAGCTACATTTCTACACAATAGCTGTTGTAGGTCATCTGAATCAATGACAACAGAGATTGAAAAGCTGTTACATAAATAAGTTCATTGTTCGGTATATGTCTATAATTAAAAGTTGAAGCATATGCCGTTTTTCACCCAAGTGTCTTTTGTAAATTATTTTTGTCATATTTTAGACATGTATGTCAATGAGGTTAAAGCCGGAATGACGTCAACAGGTCAAGATAACGAACCAACCGTTGTGAAGGAAACGATAGCAACAGCACTGGTGGACGGCAACAATGTGTTAGGTAGGCGATGAAAAACTGACAATATTTACTGAAGATGCGAAAACAACACATTTTTAGAAGAAATTTCTGATAAAGCAACCAAATGCACATGGGTAGAGTTGTATTTGCAATGTTTCTTTTCCAGTCGAATGCCATTTTTTTTGTTCTTATCATACAAACAGAAAATAAGGGATGTCTTAGGAGCAAAAAAAGGAGGTATTTTTACTCAAAATTCATGAGAAAGGGCACATTAACAAGAGAAAGATTAATATCGAATTCAATTCAAAAGAGACCAAGATAATAAGACCGCATCTCGAACACAGATAGTTAATTGTTTCATTCGCTCTATCACACAACGGATAGGTCGTAAAGTAAGAAACGGGAGAATGAAAAAAAGCAGTACGGTGTATATACATGGATGAAAAATCCCCTTGGAACAGCATAACGTAACGAAATATGTTTTCCAAACCTTCACTTCTGTAAAAAGTTTTTTAAAAAGCTCTCAGTCATATCAACTCCAATATAAAACCTGATCATGCCATCAACGTGCAGCTTGTCAGTCGTCTTTGTGATCTCATCGACAAATTGTTCGATGCTCGTTAGTTTGCCTGTTCCGTTGTTGTATACCTTTTGCTCATTTAGGAACATGACATCATTTACTTGGTTTGACCAAGACCTTCATGGCGGATGTCTTCGGTGAAGCAGAAGACGCTTACTCTTCCAAAATACCTATACTTATTCTCATTGCTTGTTTTCGGAAGTTTCCGTGTATTATTTTTTCATAATTTACCCTAGATTCTGTTAACATGTTGATATTTTCTTGGTGTGTTTGTATTTCCTAGTAATCTGCTATGATATCGCGAACCTTATATATTTGAGACCCAACCTCCAGAAATTAACTTTTTTACTTTTCATAACAACTATTGTTCACATCTTCTTTGATATAAACAGTATCAATATTAAAAAAAAACAAAACAAAATCACGATATATTAAAGAAGTCATCATGTAGTGAAACATATAAATTTCGTATCCGTGTTCAAATGCATCGTGTTGACACCGTCTATATCCGTATCGTGTACAGGCAAAGTCTCATCTGGTTGGCTCTGCATTGCTCTGTTGTAAAACTGCATCCTCATAAGAAATTAGTCATCTCCTATTTTGACAGGTTCACATTGTAAGACCCACGGAAACACTTAGTCGGTTAGTTTATGTAGACAAGGTAATGCCTTATATTTTAATATTAAACAAAATAAGTTCTTTTTTTCTGAAATTTTATCGCTGCCGTTGCCTGCTTTTTGTTTTGAAAATAAAGATAAAAAAGTTTGGACGATTGTCGTGATTAGCTCTTAATTTTAGAGACAATTGTTTTCATTGATTACTGCATACATCATCCGTGTTTCTTTTTAACTGAAAAAAGTGTACTAAAATAAGTGTAACCTTTATCCCATTTCAAGCCAATAGTGAAACCATTTTATATGTTTGTCCATAGGACCTGTGGTAGGAAAATTTTGTATGGACCTGGCCTTGAAAAAAGCCAAGGAAGCAGGAATAGGGTGGGTCTCCGCTCGAGGTATGTGGTACAATTATCAAGTATCTTTATCATCTTAGACAATTATCCATTCTCGAAAAACCTCTTGTTGCAACTCATACACAATGTTGACAGCATCACGGAATTAAGGGAATAATGACGTGTATTTGTTGTTGACGTTTTTTACATTAGAAATGACCTACATATACTTTATTACCTCCAGCATTCATATGTTTTTTTCTACATTGATATAATTCCTTCCTATTACCATTGATTCCAGTCACCTGACAGCATTCTCTACTTTGCTGCTCACTAGACAAATAGAAAGTGGCGGACAATTTTGTAATATTTCCTTGATTTAGAAATGAAGTAAACAGTAAATATAAGCAGAGTATAACCAAACCAAGTTTGTTTATTGTTTATTTTTACATATACATATGTACAAATATGATTCGTATTGCTTTTGATTGCCAGGATCCAACCACTTTGGAATTGCGGGTTGGTACACTATACGTGCAATGGAACAAGGAATGTTGGTAAGTAATAATCCATTATCATAATATTGTAATATTTGCAACTATGGTTTAATATTACTTACTGCTTACGTACTATTATTTGCAACCCCTTATGATACAATGTAGTATTACATTTTGCGAAAAATGTAACACGATCACAGTTTGAGGTGACTTCATTGTGAAATGAAAGATATTTGAAATAAAATATTGATTTTGTTTTTGGTTCGCAATGTTTAGAAATATTATGATCTAAAATAACTACTAATTGTCTGAATTCTGTTATAGCAGATTGGTTTATTCTTGTGCAAAATATAAATTCCTACATGTTTTCGATTTATTTGAAACGTGCATCCAGATATACACCTATTTATTAAATCTATCTTTCTTGCCATCAACAGGGAATGTCTTTCACCAATACCTCTCCTTTAATGGTACCAACGAGGGCGAAGGAGGTGATTATTGATAAAGGAACTGCTAACTGGAGGAATTGTTGGCAGAAAATTCGATTTCTATATTTTTTGTTCTACCAGCAAAAGTTTTATTCATACTTGTGTTTTCTTTCCTTTCCAACAGAGTTCTCTGTTGTGTTTGTTCTGTTAACAATTTAACCACACATATCAACTGTTCGATTCTTACTGGTCGTGTCTTTTTAAGAATGCTCTCTTTAGGTTTTGTTATGCACTATTTAACAATGTATCTATTTTTTGTTTGTTGCTCGTTTCTAGTAATTGACCTAGCACTAACTCTTGTATGTTAAGAACTAGTTGACTATCGTTTGAAATCTTATATCGTGTGTATAACAACCCATAGTATCCAACGATATCAAACACATTGTCTGTAACAAATTACAGAAACCATGCAATGCGAAAACGCCATTTTTCTTCTCCATCAAGATGTTGAAAAAAGTGATGTGGAATGAAAAGGAATGTGTGGACCAGTTTTTATCAAGCACTATGCTTAAGCTTTATCAATCGTTAGGACTGGTAACTGACTTTTGGTCTTCATATCCTCGCTGAATTTCATCTAATGATAGAGTGATAAAGTTTTATATATTATTGTGGTTAAAAAAAACTTTTGTACTATTCCAGCCCACTTTGGGAACGAACCCGATAAGTTTGGCAGCACCAGGTAACAATAATGATGCTATGGTATTAGATATGGCCACGACCAGTGTGGCCCTCGGAAAGGTAAAGAGTTTCTAGGCAGTCAACTTAATATATGGTTACCGTAAAGTCGGCGATTTTCGCGAGGATGTAATTTTTACTACTGATTAAATTAAATATTAAGACACGAGTGTATAAGATGTCCTTTTACATCCAGATCACGAAATCTTAATTCTTTAGAGTATAATTCGGTCATTTGGAAAGATAACCACGAATATTCCGGACTGTAAAAATGACCAGACATACAATAATGATAATATGTATAGTAATAGCATTGCTGGTTATTTCTTATCACACAAAATATCAAACCAGTGCTAAAAGATATTTAGATCATTAAAAAATAGATAAAAATATGCTAATACAGATAATTATATAAGTACATATATTACATCTAAATATAGTGCACAGTATGTAACTTTCATCATTCACAGATAGAGCTACAAGATAGAAAGGGGGAGCCTATGCCGTCTGGATGGGCATTGGATAAATCAGGGAAGGTATGTTAATTCTAAATTCTCTCATATAAAACCTTTTAAACCATCTTTATTTCCAGATGTTGTCGGATCTCTTCTTCAATCATATTAACAATAAGACTCAAAGCATAACTGACGAGAAGGACGAAATACCAGTATTATGCAGTTTAACTTATTGTTTAGCTCTATTGTATATGATTGTAAATTTGTATTGAAGGGTGACATTTATCTACGTCTTTTGTAATCCTCTTAAAAAGTATTTCATCATTAAAATTCCAACAAATCTTATGTAACAATATTTACCAAATGTAAATATTTTTCTTTGGGTTTCTATCTCTATAATATTTTATGAAAACTTGAGCTTCTGAAGTAATTAAAGAATCATGTACTTTTGAAATAGTTTTGAAGATAGATTGTTTACTTTGAAAAACGAAATGTTGATGCTTCATGTTATTAAAATACATTTGAAAAATTCTCTTAGTCTTATTCCCCCCAAAACATTTAAAAAGAAGATAGATTGTTTACTTTGAAAAACGAAATGTTGATGCTTCATGTTATTAAAATACATATGAAATATTCTCTTAGAAAAATTTAAAAAGAAGATAGATTGTTTACTTTGAAAAACTGTTGATGCTTCATGTTATTCATATGAAATATTCCCCCAAAACATTTAAAAAGAAGACTCCCATGTTATTAGAATACATAAAATATATGTCCAACCTTTAAAAACGAAATGTTGAAATTAAAATACATATGAAATATTCTATTAGTCTTATTCCCCCTAAAACATTTAAAAAGAACACTCCCCATAAAATTATGTGCAACCTTTAACGTAAAATTGGCGCCCAAATTTAGATCGCTATCATTATTCAACTGCATGTTGACCCCGTAATCCGCTCCGAAAATAATAACGTGTTTTGTGTTTAATTTGTCGTGAACCAGAGAACAACACATGATTTTCTCCATGTTATTTAACTTGAACAGGAAACTCACGAACCTAGCCAGTACGCCGGTCTTCTTCCTCTCGGTGGCACTGAACAAAGCAGTGAGTAGACACTTTGATCAAGTTGGTTGAAAGTATTTTCCTGGAAAACGATAAATCCCCTGAAGAAACGAAAACATATTTCGATATTGATATCATGATTTACGACCTCCACATTATGTAAGCTTAAGTTCCGCATCGAAAAAAGCATAACCTTATTTTTGTTTTAATTATTCTGTCGATATAAATAATGTGACTATAATGTAATTCCTTTGTTCAGGTGGATATAAAGGCTACGGTCTAGCAATGATGGTAGAGGTTTTCTGTGGTATACTATCCGGATCAGCCTTTGGTCCTAATGTACGCAGCTGGAAGGAGTTTAACAAGAAAGCAAATCTGGTATGTTGCGTCAAACGTTTATCTTTCACAATTCGGATGGGTTTGGAGATTTCAAGCCCAGCAACTTCTTATCTTGTTTCCCAACAATCGGATAGTTTTTGGGAACACATTTGTCTTTTTTAAACTTTACAAAAGTATTTAATACTAGTCATACAAACCAATTTCTTGTTCACTGTAACGGATGTCTCGCCTTTTTACGCTACTTATAGCTATTTATTGTTATTTCTTACTGGAATTCATTCTTGAGTTCCGTCGTTTCATCTCAATTTCATTTGGGGTGACACTTGCAACACATGTTTTATTATATGACTGTGCTGTCATTTCAATGATTGCAGACCTTTACAAGACAATAAGTTGCAACATCTAGTAAGATAGCATACGTGTAAAACATCTTTCAACCGGTAGAACTAATTCAACATTTCGTGATAAATGTTTGGTATATGGATGGTTGGATGGTACAGTGGTAACATACTGGCCTTTCACATATGCGTCTGGTGTTCGATTCCCAGAACGGACATGGATGATAAGGGTCACCTGCCTGACTAAGAGGGTTGATTTTCCCCGGGCATGCTTGTTTCTTCCTAGCATAAAACCCCATCACAAACACGAGTGGTTAGTAGAAGCTGGATAAATTGTTTTGCAGTGGTAGTAACAGAGTAAGCAATGATTTGTGTTCTTTTAAAATGACATAGTGAATCCATCATACTATTACATGTTTTCTAGCTGCCATAAGACCTCATATAGCATTTTTGAGTTGGTAACTGCCTGTATGATACTCGTGTTTGTTACTCATTGTAGGGTCAGTGCTTCATCGCTATCGACCCCAATGCTTTCGCAGACGGCTTCTCGGACCGAATGAGTTCCCTGATAGATCACTGTCGTAACCTAGACACGGTAAGATACATGTATTCAATATATTTTTTAAAAAGCGAATGACGAGGGAAACTTTTAAATCAATTAATATGGCACTATTGATATTATTTTTGGATTTCAGGCAAGGTCAGGTACTTGTAAATTCCACTATTAACTTTCAGTTACAGTTATTGAATGGAATTCGTAAGGGACGATCATTCATCTCACTGAGGTTGAGATAAAGATGTTTTCTACTAAAACAAAAATGAAATAAAATAAAACAAACAAAGCTGAACTTTTATTTCGTAATTCAGTGAAAGAAGTTTTGTTAACTGCATTCCGATTTCTTTAACACAGGCAGAAGGTGAGACGGAGGTACTAATTCCTGGAGACCCAGAGAAGAAGCACATGCAAGAATGTGATGGTTTAGGAGGCATTCCTTATCATCCAAATCAAATAAAATTTGCAGTACGTATACAACCATCTTCGCAATCTTTTCAAATATGTAATATTAGCATAAAGTTTTAAGTGCTGCGTATTGTTATAATCATTTTGTTTTCCATCAAATATCAGTTTAATAATTCAATATTGAATACTTCTACTTTTTCGTTAGAATCCATATCATATCATAGAGACTTTTGGATTTGGATGGATGTACTGTTTTTGTTAGTGTTAGATAATAGCGCTTGGGTATCTCTATCTAAGCATTATGAGAACATCCAAACTGGTGTATAATTTATATTTAAGAATATAGAGAGTCGCATATTAAACATTTTAATAACAATAGAACAATGTTTTATGTAAGAGTAGTTACTGACATGACATGTATAGATGTAGATCCCAAGGCATTGCATTTCCATAACCACGTGTGTAATATCAAACACTGATACAGACATCAGTTACAGCATTCTTTTTGTGATGACGATATATGCATTGCTGTTCTATACCACACTATTCAAATTGTAGAAATGTTATCACTACTAATCTAAGGGGTTCAACGATGTCTGTCTTTGTTAGCTAAATAACCATTTACGAGCGTAAGGCATATGTCTTTAAAACAAGTATTGAAATTCAGTTATTTCTGATTTGTTCAACTTGCTAAGAAATATTTTAACAAGTCTTTCTTTGACCACGCACGCTTACCACAATCCTTATTTATTTTCAGAACGAACTGGCGGACAGACTAGGAGTCAAGCCTTTTGAAGTCAAGTAATTCTAACTGTAGGAAATAAGGTTATGAATAAGCGCTTGATGTAGATGGACGAGTGAGAGGTACTAAAGAAGACTGTGTTGATTTTAAATGGGATGATATGGCATTTCAAATATATATCACAGTCGTTATTTTTCACATTGTTAAATTTTCATGAATATATATGTTTAGGTTGTTTCAAGCTTTTGTACGTATTGTTGTTATATACTGTACGATATATGTTTACCATCAATAAAAATATCAACACGACATCTGCTTGACTCGTTAATATAATAGTCTCCATGTTCAAAGTCGTTGTCAAATATGCACAATGATATCAATTCTTGTTATTCATGACATTCATACAGTTGCAATGTGTTGGAAGCTACTGGGACAACATCCTACTCTATTTTGTTCGTTTCGATAACTCCAACATAAACCTGTATCTATCTTAATGCATTTATGTTGTTAACTCAATATGTTTACAATTCAGGGTTACATGCTTGCATTTATTGTATCATTTCAGATACACGGTATAATTACTTTTAATTTTATTCATTGCTTGGAAACTGGTGGGATGAAAATAATTTTTAACTTTGAGATACAACGGAGAACACACTTCCTAGCGAAGACAATGTCCGTTCCATCAGCATTGGTAACGCCTGTCTACGCCCTACAGTGGCATACTCTGTGGAACGCATTCGTACTTTGTTTTTACGGGTGATTGGCGAGAAAAGTTCACAGTTCAGTAAACACAAATTTCCAAACTAGCAGTTTTCACACTTAGCTGGTCCGATAAACATACGAAGGCCCCTAGTATGACTGATGACTCCTAGATGGACGAAACAGCTGTATAATGCAGTTTACTTCATTGTTAGGCCCTAATCTAACTATAAATTATTGGAAGGTTCTATTCATTTGTGGGTCTTTTGTATAATCGTATGCCACGTTTTATTTAATCAATGCAGGAACATGGGTTTACATGAACTTCAATTTCCTGTGAGTATGAACTTGTTTCGTGTGATGACTTCATAGGGAAATTTTATTACATTGATATAAAATTGGATGCATTTGGTGCTCCTTGATACGAATCCTAATTTTTTTTTACTGTTCCAATTTTACTAATTTACTAATTAGTTATGAGAAAAGGGCGGTCGGCAGGAGACGGCACACTTCGAAAGGATACTACTAAACGTTACAATGTCCAAATATCACATCATATGTAAACTTGTGATTTAAATGCTATATTGGATCTTGTCCCGACCTTTTCCTCTATTATTGAATCCAAATACTTTAAGATGTTTGAATTTACAAGGACCGTAAAGAATTTTCTATTACACCTTTGATAATGCGTAATTGCAGTAGTAGTGGTAAATCTTAGATCTTAGTAGTATAGTGGATAAGGTCAACCTGTAATGATGAAATGGTCACGAATGCGAATCCTGTTGGCAGAGGATTTTTTAAACAGATTTATTTACGGACACTTTCGCAAAAACCTCACTTTATGATGGTCCTCTCCATGTTATAAACCAGTTAAACATTTTTGCACGGAAACAAATATCCACATTTAGTAACGAACCAATTGTCAAAATAGCCACATTACTACCCGAAAGGAACGCAAACATTCGACTGTTTTGTTGACAGTACGAACGTATTTCTTAGTTAACAGGGCGGCTTTCATATTACCGATGATAAGGTAAAGGTCGGGAGGTGGGGTCAGAGAAACTTATTTGGGAACTTTGTGCATCTGATAACACGTGCTAGCCAGAAAAATCACACTTATCTTCTCTTGGAAGAGATATCTAGAATATTGTCTAGCAGGCATTATATAAAAACTGCAACAGTTACACTTTATTACAGTGGATCTTGTTTTGAATGTCTTGAAAACTTGCAGTATTTAGAACCAATAATATGAAGTAGCAAAGAATTAAAATAATCTATCTATATCTTCCATTTCTTTGATATGATTACTATATCTTAAGTATCGACGAGTCAAGTATTTATAAAAACACACAGTACGTACGAAATATGACCCTGTTTCTCTATAACTTAATATTATTCCAAATCTAATCGTCTATAAGATTTTGTGTTGAAAACACCAGCTGCGCAGTGCCTTATTTGAAGTCAGGACTGTCTAGATTAATTTCATTAGTTGTATGGATGTTATATCATACATAGTTACAATAATGCTAATGAGCATCTCAAAAACCTTCATGCATGAGAGACACCTAAAGGGACGGACAACGATATACGTGACAAGGACACTTGACACGTCAATATGTCCAAATTGTACATATTGTAAATTGTATTTTGTCTCCAGCTTTCTTCCTTTTCAATGTGTAACACGTTGTGTCAAATTCGGTTGTAAAACTGGAGTGTGCGAGTATAGGCCGAAAGCTAGTTGTGTGTATGTCAGTAATAACTCAATAAACAAATGAAAAATCTTGACCATTATGTATTTTATTATTGCTGTGTTCGTGTGACCAAAACAAATGTCATTGATTTCTTTAAACAAAAACTATTTACTTTTTTCAGAAAATTGAAAAAGAGGATTATAAAATGAAATTATATATATATAAATATTGGACAAAATTAAAATTTCATACCTCCAATCATTTCTGGTAAACACCAACGATTCTAAAACGATTAATCACGTAATGCAGAATTTAAGGATTGAAATATCACAATTTGTTCGAACAATATAAACATACAGTCGATTGAGGAAAAAAAATCCCGAGAATATAACATCTAGATGGAAATGCAAATACACCGACAATTTTCATTTATTTTCAATATTCCACATTTGCAATAGCTTGTAACTCATGCAATCGGTTGAAATAGCATGGCCTACATCAAAGGAAAGGGTAAAATTATGACATAGGTTTATTGGCGGTGACTAAAGATCCATTGTTACGTGTTACGTAGTGAATCAAATGAAGCACATCACATACAAGTTAAGGCTATTGAATAAGGTTTTATATATGTATAATGGCATATTTTAAGTCTACATCGTGGTTCTATTCTACAACATGTGTGGAGTATAAAACTCCTTAAAACATGGATTGTCACGATGATGATACGATTTGTTACACTTTGATAAACACTGCAATATAGACATGGGATTAATTTGACATGTCTATATTGAAACTTTTTTCTTTATCTGTATTCATTTAACACGTTCGCTTAGCTTGCGTAATTTGCTTTTTTATGATATTATAAAAAATTCTAAGTGAGGCAGTCTTTATAATAAATGGTGCAATGATAATTCTATTGATGAATTAGGAAATAATTAATATGCGGTGATGGTATGGACCATATATTTTAAAAGGTGTTTTTTTCAACTGTGTAATTTCTCACGATGTTGCAAACAGCTTGAAGGAAAAGCTTGTATGTTTATGTAAGGAGTCATGACGTGGACGATTGCTTTCTCAATTAGGTTAATTTTGATTAATCATTTATTTCTTGGTTTCATCTCATCCTCAATAATAGCGAAAACAACCTTTACAGAAACAAATAGAGAAAAGAAATCGACTTCATAGCAAAAAATTGCAAAAAAATATCACATATAAAAGGAACATGGTATCAAATAAATTCGCGCAGAAAATTATCCCTAGTGATTCCTAACAGGTAATTATACATGGGATCAGGAGATGATTTGTTTATAAATTAAGAAATTGAGAAATAGTAAATTTGTTTATGCGATATAAATCTAGACGTGTTTGATGCTCGTTATATTGCCTTTTGGTTCCGTTGTTGTATACTATGTTCTCATTTGAGAACGTGACACTACTTACTTGGATTGGCCAAGGTTTATATGGCTGGTGTTGTCGATGAAGCAGAAGACACCTTCTCTTCCGGAACATCTGGTACTATTCTCCTTGTACTTTTTCAGGAGTCCGTGTAAATATTTATTTGTTTATATTTTGCCCTAGGTTAAATAATGATTATGTTGAAATGTTGATATTTTCTTGATTTTCACGTTACCTATATCTAATGTAGTTGGTTTTATTTCTTTGACAACTCGTTAAAATGGCTAGAGATAATAAACTTATTACTATAACTTATTGTTAATTATTGTTATCTTTAATATTATTATCTATGAAATCCACGATGATGAAAACATATATAGTTAATATATCATTTACTACATTAACACGTACAAAGATGACGTATGTCTCTGACATAAGTTATTAACGTCTCAAATGAAGACGCCAGCAAACTGTTGTTAGTTTTATACATTTTTTTCATTATAAAGGAAAGCCGACATTACGGCAGATGTTTTTGACGTTGAATAATCTTGGAATATTAGTGTATGTGTACTCACTTTTCTGAACTAGTTTAAGATACAAAAGAAACGTTCAAACTTATCTTTCGCAGTAAACAGTAAACTTTTAAAGTTGGAAATACATAATCGACGAGAGTAGCATGAACAAGGAATGATGGACACTGGTCCATGATATACATACACGTGCAAAGATGTGATAATGGTCACTTATGATTTATTTATAACAGGGAGAAAGCGTCATATAATCAAAGGGATAATGAAAAACTGGCATTGTTATTGTAGTATTGATGACATATGGAAATATATTAATTTCGCACGAGAAAGCAAATTGGCATTTCAAGAATAAATCTGTTCAGATATATTATCTACCTGATAAGACATTAAACATATTTCATCGAGTGAATAAGAAAAGATAATATGTTTCCGTATTATATTGCCCCAATATACCATGTGCCCGTGACCACAGAAATGTACCAGCAACCACAATCTGTTGTTGAGGTGCAGCCTTCAGAGCAAACACATGACAAGTCATGCGTAATAAGCCTAATTTAACTGTTTCGAATAACTATTTTGTAACTTTACAATTCTCGCTATCCATATATGATATATTTCCTTTGAAGTTTTACATAAAATGCAATTTCATTCGCATGCAATTTTGTCATTGTTCGAGCACACTACATTAAAGTTAATAAGCTACATTTGCACGATATTGCATGTATATGCTCAGACGATAAACTTGTCAATAAGTAAGTAAGTAAATAATACTAATATATGCACAGCTGCTGCTTCTTACTTCATTCGAAATAAATTTCCATAATTCATATTTATCCTCTGCGTATCTAAACCAAACTGTTTTATCCTTTATTGATTAAAGACTTAAAGACAAAATATTTCTACCTGAAAGATAGTTCGTAAAGAGTCTTCAAAAATAATATGTTAGTCTCCGGAGCAGCCAAGTACAGTGAGGTAAGTTTAATTTCATCTGTTCATAAACTAACAATATCATCTGTACAAACATAAAAGTGATGTTGACTTTTTATATACATATGTACATGTAGCAAGACCATTTTGTCATTTCTGAAATCTATCATATAGGAATCTGCCTGTTAAAAGCTTATAAAGAAAATAACATTACAGAGTAGAAGTTGTAACAAATATGTTTTTCTCAAATATTGATCGGACAAAACAAGTACAAACGAGACAAGATTATTAGAATATTTACATAGAAAAATGAATTATTTGATTTATATCATTTATCATGCAGTGTAATAACGTATCAGCGAGCGTATTTGGCGTAGAAATGTATTGCGTATGAAATTAGTTATATTCGTTTTGTGTGTTCATGTATTCTTAATTGGCAAATGTAAACCGAACAAGATTTTAAGGCTTGTCTTTCGCGGAGTTATCAGCATATATATGGTTTTCTACAATTTTCTAACCTTTTCTAATCATGACAAAATTGATTCTCAATGGACATTTCGAATTCAAACTCGAAAGAGTAATACGATTTTTATTGCTGTTATAGTGGTACAGTGGTATAGTGGTAGAAATATACATCGTCATCTACAATTTTCAAATTTTAAGCATGGATACTTTCATTTCAGATAGCTATCTTCATTGTTTAAACAAATCCAACTCTTTATTTGAGATTACACTGGAAAATGTGGACAATGTTTATTTGACATCACATGATATTAGAAACTCAAAATTGACAATGATACCTGGTCATCTACATAGTTTACTTCAACCAAAAGCTGGAATTGACGTAACAAAGCAAAACTTTGGCACATTAATGTCATATAAGACAATAAGCGTTAAATTTTTGGATATGATAAGATTGGCAGATTCTAATACAATATGATGTGTAGTGTAATTAAGATGTTTTTACCAACGTTGCCTAAACCTAGCGCAAACAATTGTCCTTGATTGTACAAAGACTTGGATGATGCAACGAGGTACAACAAGATCATTTTTTCATGAAATCTTTAAACCTCTATAACATCTGTCATAACAATAACGCTGAAAAATTGGTTTTAATCACACGTTCATATACAACATCATGTTTTGGCTTTTATTGAGTGTTCGTTCTGTGTGGAGTCGATATACCAAAGTCTTTTGAAAAGATAGTGACTGCTCTCTGTTTAATACTCAGCATTGTAGGAGAGTAACGACTGGTTTGCCCATTATCACTTAACATAGCCTGGAGTAGTGTTTTGTTCATTCCCTTCGGCATTATACTTTCAGTATGATTGCGCTATAAAAAAAGCATCCGTGCAGCCCAGGGATGATTACAGGTGCATATACCAGCTCCTACAAGAAAATGCCAACAAGTGAATATAATCATAATTCAAATTCCAATTGAAGAAAAAGTGGGCAAAATATCAACAATCTGCAACGCAACTCAGGAAAGAGTACGAGAGTAAAACACATAATCCGGAAGATTAAACGTCTTGTTTCATTGACGACATCCGCCATGTAAATATTGGTCAATCCAAGCGTGTAATGTCATGTTCGCAAAAGAGAACGAAGTAAACAGTAACGGAACCAACAGGCAAACTCACCATCATCAACCACGTCCAGCTTCATATCGCACAAGGAAATAGAAAATAATGAGATCACTATCATGACCGTACAAATACATGCACTATCTACACTGAACACGTTCATAATTTTACAATTTGCATTCATGAAACTCTTAACTTGTACTATTTCAATAAAGAATTTTGGGCTCATGTGAAAATCTTAGATATTTTGTTCAATGCTACTGTGGACGGTTAGTTCTTTGTTTAGGTCCGTGCTGTTGTGTGTATGTGCTTAAGAAAGACTTTGTCCCAATTGTTTTGTATATAATTCAGATGATCTCTCGTGCCTTGTGGTGTTCAGTTTGGTAGCCCTCAGCTTCTTTAATATGGGAACTGTACCTCACAATGACTCTGACTGCCCACAAGCATATTCAGCACTAGATTTGAAAATGGCAATCCAAGCATTCTTAGTATATGACACTAGAGCCCATGTACCTTTCTTTATTGGGTTAATCCGGCCAGTATAGAATCTGATGCGGTCGACACATGTTGCTTACACAAGAAATGACTCTATAATTTGCATTTGACGACAGCATTTAATCTTCTTTTCTCGTACGTAAACGTGTAATACAATAACAATTAATTATTGATATGATTATATTATCTTTTCATATAGTGAATAAGGTTAGCTTAATCTACACTGGACACGTACATAATTTTGATTCGATTAATTAATGTTTGAATAATTAGTGCAAAGATAATTTTGTGCAATCCGTGATAATTGTTTTATGAAGAATGCACTTAATTAAAGCAGTCATATCTTAGCACCGCGAAAAGCGCTGAAATAAGATTACTGCTAAAATGCGTTTATAATTGCATTCATGAAACGATTCCTTAAACAACAATGGAGACGAATGAGATGCATACTACAATGTTATCACAAATGTAACTACATGTACAGCAGCAACATGCAGCAACATGCTATCCAGTCATATCTATACGGGTTTGCCAGTCTATGTTATGACTATCAAGCAGAGCATCCGTTAGCACCCGTAGAAATCATTCTGATCCTTTCTTGACTATTCGGTTCATCACCTGTAAAGTAAAATACGAGATGTCATGTTCCCCAGTAGACCAACCAAATATTAGGTCAGAACGTTTTTGGGAAATTGTTTTAATACCGATCTACAGCTAAACTCATTCTCTCTCCTTCCTCGATATACAATAAAGCATTTGAAGCGCTGATCTTATAAAATGTCTTCTATCCGCAGCACTAACTCTGCCCATCGTGTGCAGATCTCACAACCATGGCGGCTTTCTGGCGGGGGCTTATCACGTTCATTGTGGTGATATGTGCTCTTTCCCCAGTAGAACAGGTTGGGGCAAGAATTCACAAAAAAAAGAAACTGCCAACAGAAGAAGAGAAACACTTTGCGGACCTTATCAAAAATGCCATAGAGTATGCCAAACGGGCATGGGCCGAGGATACACTCAGGAAATCGGAATCATACCAACATGGTAAGGTGTTAATGATACTGTATATTGCATGATATCCCGTTCATTGGACGTAACCCTGAAAACCGGACTATATGATAAGTGCCTGAAGTTTCGTTTCATTAGTTAAAGTCACATAGTACATTTTTGTCTCTTTGCGTGTTTACTTAGGTATTGATATGAAGAACCAAAGAAGCACTAATGGGCAATCAAGCTTGTTCGCTGATGAGGACCCGAAAGGTCAACGTCTTGAGGAGCTGGCATTTATTTCACTAGAAGCTACAAAGAAATTGGAACGATCGTAAGAAAAAGAGAATTTGAAAAGAACAAAATTTGATTTATCTTCTATCTATCTATCTATCTGTAATCTTAAATGACACTGCTGTTACACATAGGGCTAAATTGAACGGGACGAGAATGTCCAGTCAGTAGAGCGTCGATCTTCGCATCCTCGGCTAATGATCTGAGGTTTGTGGTTCGACGAACTAGAGACGGTTTGTATTGTCAAGAAATCAGAAATTGTGTGTTCACTGAGGTAGCCAAAACCTACTTTAAGCTTCTACATAAGGATGTATCGATAAATATTACATACCATTGTTATTACGTATGATCTATATTGGTTTCAAATGCCACGTGTTTGCAGAGTTCGCGACTGAAGCTATCGACGTAAACTAAAAACAAATTATTCGGTAAAAATACAATATTATGTGAGAATTGTTTTGATAGTCAGATTAAAACGTAGTCAATATTTCTTGTAGATCTAACATTTCAATTGCAACGATGCGTAGTTCCAAGACCTGGTTAAAGATATGGAGATCTCTGATACACGCATACTGCGATAAAACAAAGATCACATGTGACCCAAAGGCTTTGTACAGGTCTGCGAATGGCTCGTGTAATAACCTACAGCACGTCACATGGGGAATGGCATTCACCCCTCAGCAGCGCTATCTACCACCAACGTACGATGACTGTATGTATTTTAATATTTATTATCAATTTCACTTTTGATTGAAGAATATTGCTTCACTGAAAAGAGCGAAATATGTCAAATGTAGCGCGAATATTGTAAGAAATAATTGTTTATGGATACAACCAATCGTGCTCTGTGTAATGGATCAGGTTATATGTTACCTATATTGTTGTAGTTGATTGATTTTGTTAGAAAAGTTGGAAAAGTACATTTGGGCATTAAACCATGACGAAAATTGCAAGTTCAACTATAAGGGTAATAGCATGAGCAATATCTTTATAACAATATAATTTATATAAGCTGATTGAATATTTTGTCTAAAATAAAACAAAAAAATTATTTTACGTATAGCAGTACACGCACAGTGCACACAACAGGTTGATAACCCGATAACAGAATACTCCGTTATCAAGTTGTCAGTTAGTCACTGAGTAGGGATAATTTGAACATGGAATCTGGTACACAATTACTGATGACAGTACTTTTAAAAGTTAAATAAATCACTAATCTGTAGAAAAGATGGTATTGTGAGAAAGCTGCTTATACTTAGAACTGACAGCTGATCATGAGAATGTTTATGATAAAAAACATTTGAAAGCCCACCTTGCTTTGGCTGAAATGTATCATAGTGAAACACTACTGTTTGTAAATAAACCTCAAATGTACAACTATATGATTTAGGGATTCCCATATTCACCAGTTAAATGACATGAAAACCTTTTTTTAAATTTTGTTGGGAACAAATTATAGAAGTATAAAATTATATTTAAAAATACATTCTTTTTTTACATTTCAAGTTCATTTAAAAAGGAGATATTATCATTTATAAAAAAATCTAAACAGGGATTGACTTACCGAGAACAAAATGCCATGCCGGACGCCTGTTACCCAGCCCAAGGAAGATTAGCAATACCCTGTTCTGTGAACATGGTAAACCAAGGATTGCTAAGAACCACACTATTATGGTGATGGCTTGGGGGCAGTTCATAGATCATGACGTAATCTTCACACCCCTCCCGAAAGGTCAGTCTTGCATCAATGTTTACTTTCAATTAAAATTACATGATAATTGTTTAATTTGGAATTATGAAAAACTCCTAATCCTGTGTTTTAAATTAATTGTTTGCAGAAGACGATGAATATTTATCACAAATGTGATCAAAACAATGTTCTTGATTAATGATCTGGTTTTTGGTTTTATATAAGAAACTTACAGATGACGCGTTGAAGTTTATTGTTGTAAAACGTTCACCGTATTAAGATAGAATAAACCAATGCATTATCACGTGCAACTAACATAAAAAATAAATATAATTTCAATTCATATATGTTAATTTTTAGTCCGACAAATTATATTTCAGAACGATTTTTGGTATTCATGAATATAGGAAAAAACCATACAAACAGAGAGCAGAAAAAGTATAAAGTATTCATGTGTGTATAATACATATATAAATACTCCAGCTAAGCCTCGAACTCTTGAGCAGTAATCGGTCATCTCGCCACAGTTCGCCACTTCTATGTAAATTACATATTCATTGTGTGATAGCCTAATCTTGTCATTGATGAATGTTTAACAAAAATCATTCATAAGGGTTGTATACTGCTAAACAAGCATTTGGTGCCGATTCCCTATTCGACATCGATGCGAGCCTCTAGACGCCGCTATACTGGTACCACAAGGCAGGAAGCAGTTTACGTTTGAACATATTTTAGGATTAAATGTTATTTTCCAAATATTGTGTTTTTGTATCAAAAAGAAATTTATTTGATTGTAAAAAATGTATTTGTCTTTTCATGAATAACATAAAATTACAGAGCAAAACACAGCCTAAACATACGTATACTCTGTACAATGTCCACGAGTGGTCAGATCATCTAAATTCGTCACGATGTGTTTAGATAAGTTGTTTTAGTTGTTACTGTCAAAATTATAAAAATAATATTATCATGTTAATACGTATTTTACTTTTCTTTTTAAAGTCTTAAAACGTCATGATGAAGACAATAGAAAACAAAATTCAATATTATACTCAACGATTTTTTGTATGAAAAATAAAGAACATTAACTCATTTCAGGAGCTAATGGTTCTGCCATAAGTTGTTGTGATAAGGAGTCCGGCAAATCAAAGAGGTATGCGAATTCAGTTACTTCTTGGTAAATAAATAAAAATGAATTAGTAAAGATTAAAACAGATACAGTCTCTTATATAGATACAAGTGAGTACTTTTTTATAGTTTGTGTTATGCCTCTATAGTACATATATAGTGAACTGATATGATCTACTACACACAGGCCTGAATGCTTTCCTATAGACATACCAAAGGACGATCCTCATTTTACTAACAAGACGTGTATGAACTTTCTACGGTCGACTGCAAGTCCATCTCACTCATGTCTTCCTGGTAAGCATGCGATATCGGTCACAACAATATCATTATCATTGTTTAATTTCTTTCTGATGAGCACCATTTCAACTTTCTAATTTAAGAAGCTTAACACGACTGTTCTTTCCATTCCGAACAATGGGTAAAATGATCATGATAAAATAATACAATTATTACATTTCAAATAATATCTGGTCACAGCGTATCCAACCAGATTAGATTGGTTCATTTCAATTTAATTTGAGACAGTTTCCATCTACGAGCTTCAGGTTGGCATGAGGTAATACAAACGTTAGCATAGCAATCAACTACCTTTTATCTATTCATTTATTTATTCTTTTCCCTAATCCTGATAAGAAAACAGGAAGTGACGGGAGGTGAAAGTGGACAACATGTTTTGCCTAATTATAGTTCCATACCAACGGTGTCCATTTTATAAAAAATAATTTTTTTAAAATATGGTTAATTGAATTTTTAGATAACATACATCATTTAAAACAATATCGTTTAAATTGTAACTCGTATTAAAATTTGAAGATAAAAAATTCACATAGATATTTGGAAGCGAGATTCGCGTTAGATTTGTCGCCATCATTACCCTCCTTGTAACATCATTTGTTGCAGCACCTCGCGAACAGCTTAATCAGGTGACCTCTTTTATTGATGCTTCCACTGTATACGGGTCGTCTGACGAGGAAACCAAGTCACTCAGAGCAATGAAGAAAGGTATACACGTGATTTTATGTCTTCATATTTTACAAAATAATTTTCACGAAAACAAAGTAACGAGAAACTAAATAAAAGAGACAATCTCCAATTCTTTAAAACAATATCAATGTCCACTACTGCAATAACACATTCCTTCAGCTGGCTTCTAACACTAAGTTTGAATATTTCAATTTGTCTATCATGATTATAAACGGTAAAAGTTAATGATCTTGCGATTTTCATATTCTGTCTGAAGTTTATCTGAAGGGCTTATACTCTTATCCATGTCGTTATGATGGCAAAGGTTGCACAAAAGACACCGGTAAATAGTGCCTTTGAATGCCAAATTAGAGCCAAACAACTAAGTTCATCATACAGCTGTTCCGTCCTTCGCAGACTAGTCAGTGATACTAGGAGTCTGCATTTTTAAACATAGAAGTCGATTTAGAAAAAGCTGAAGTGATCGAAGTAAAAATCTAGATATTGGGAGTTCACTAAGTCCCATAATTCCACGAATTCCATACCTATTACTTATCTTTCATTACAATGTCAACTGCATGTTTATATTTAAACAAAGAAGTCGACTAAGAGAAATCCGAAGTGATCGAAGTCAAAATCGAGATGTTAAGGGTTCAATAAGTCCACGAATTCTATACCTATTACTTGTTTTATCTTTCATTATAATGTCAAGTAAATGTTTATATTCTGAACCGTATGTATATATGTATATATTTACAGGTTTACTGCTGACTTCCAAAGGTGGACTTCCCCCTGTTGGCAAAGAGAAATCATGTGTTCTTACACACCCTAAAGAGTACTGCTTTCGTGCTGGTACGTTGGTTTTAGGACGAATGTATTATGTCTAGTCCAACGAAAATCCGCATAACGCATTCAAATCTTTATCATAAAGAAATACATACATGTACATATGTCACCAAATGAATATGCGATTTCTAATGTAGAGTTTTGGAAATTATTATATTCGGTAATTTATTGAACTGTGATTTAATATGGTAATACAACTAGTATTCGAAATATTTTTTTTCTGTATGTGGAAGTTATATTCACATTTTTGTGTTTGAACAAACATGATTATAAAATTTTACATTGAATCTTATGTTGATATTTATCGTTTTCATATTAAATTAGTACTGTTTTCCTCAAACCATTATCGAAAAGCACATGTTATGAACTATAAGTATATATATTAAACGATGTTAATGATATTTTATGGTTACGCACTTTGTACTATAGCAAACACGTATAGCAAATATCTTTTCGAGTTGCTGCAATTTTACAATTCAAGAACGTTTGTATGTATCGTCAATTGTAAAGCGTACATTTCTGCATGTTTGCAGGGGATAAGAGAGTCAACGTTGTACCAAACTTGAGCGTTACACATATTTTATTTATCAAACAACACAATAGAATAGCCAGAAGACTGGCGAGGATAAATCGACATTGGACAGATGAGATAATCTTCCAGGAAACAAGAAAAATCATAATTGCTCTTATGCAACAAATAACGTACAGAGAATATCTACCGAAGACATTAAATGCTGAACACATGAGTCGGTATGGACTTAACTATTATCCAGGGAAATTTAACAATGTATATAACCCTTCAATTAATCCCGGAACAAGAAACTCCTTTGCTGCTGCCGCATTCCGTTACGGACATTCGCAGATTCCGCCAACTCAGTCTGTACTAGCTGCAGACCATTTGACGTACAAACATTATCCTCTGGAGGACACGTACCATAAGCCATATTTGGCACAGGAGGACGATGGGAAGAACTTGCCAGGTCTTCTTCGGTGGCTGTCAACAGAACCGACTACCTGCAATGACAGGTAAAATGTTTTCCTAGAGACCATCCCTGGTTTTACTTAGAATTAATTTATATATATGCTTCGTTCCCATTCTTTTACCTAGGACATTTGTAAGATATCTGTAAATGGTGTATGCAGTAAACAATTTTGGTGTTTACGATATTTCCGAATTATTCAAATAATAAGAAAAAAAATCTGTGTATCGCAAGAAGAAACCACATACACATAAGAACACTTCTTATACTAATTATATAATGAACGACCGAATGTTTCCGGAGAGATTTTTTTTATTTTCATCACCTGAAAAGTCATCGGTTTTCAAAATGATTTATTATCAAGCACATAATTCAAGTATTTTGGGTACTATTATTGGTATATACATATTACGTTAAGAAAACACATGATGCCAATTTTCATTTCTGAAAAGTTTCAAATAATTAAATAGCGTTTTTATCGGTTAAGGGTTTTTGAGCCGCAAGTGCGTGACCTGTTATTTCTTGACAAGAAGGGAAATAGTCTGGATTTGCCCGCCATCAATATACAGAGAGGAAGAGACCACGGCATGCCTTGTTATAACGAGTGGCGTGAATGGTGTCAGCTACCAGTAGCTAAACATTTTGACGCTAGAGAAGGTGGACTAGTGGATCACGACCCCGTGTGTGCGGGTCTACTCAAAAAAGCATACGGGTAAATTATAATCATGTATGATGTTAAGGTAAACATTGGTGTAAACATTTCGGGCAAGATGTCGTCAACTGACGGACAAACTCGTAACACAGGGTTTCAAAAGATGCAGGTTGATGAAATGAAGGGGAACTTTTATGGTCGCCATAGTGATCTAATTGAGAAATATTATATTTCTTTGTGTGATTTGAAGCTAGATGTGTTTGATGCTCGTTAATTTTCCTGTTCTGTTGTCTCTACCCTGTCGTAATTTGGGAACATGACTTTTCTTACTTGGGTTGGCCAAGGTTTACATGGCGGGTGTCGTCGATAAAGCAAAAGACACCGACTCTTCCGCAACACCGGGTTTTAACTCCTACTTTTTTAAGGATTCTCCATGTAAATCTTTATTTTCTTCATAGTTTGCCCTAGTTTTATGGAATTTGAGTTTGGATGATTTTGTTGCCACGTATATATTTTCTTGGTTTACACCACGTTTGGCATGATAATTCATTTTTTGTTTGAAAATTAAATAAAAAACCTGTTGGATAGATAATCGAACTCTTATCTACATTCAAATGGTGTTTAAAGTATCTTGATCACACAATTTCAATGTTTTTCCATTTATGTTCTTGTCTCATTTCTTCATATGTGTAATTATAATCTGTTATGTTATCAACAAAGTGGATTTCAATACTTTAAGTATTATCTATGTCTTCACTACAGGCATGTGAATGATATTGATCTCTACGCTGGTGCTATCAGTGAGAAACACATACCAAACGGTGAAGTTGGTCCTACCTTTGCATGTATAATTGCACGACAATTCCACGCATTTAAATACGGAGATCGGTTTTGGTACGAACAGGTTGACAAACCAACAGCTTTCACGAGAGGTAAACTTCGACATATCCGCCAAATACAATCGGATTATTTAAATTTGCTGCAACATTATCCTTCATGGAATCCCTTATATTTCTATACAATTGTCAAATAATTTACTGGCATAGATAAGCCGTTTCCAAGACAAAACCTGAGAAAATTATAAAATTGATTATTCAACAAATATAGAACAAATATGATTGTTATTTTGATCAGCTGATTTTACAGCCTACTTAACTTTTTTGTGAATTTTCATATGCTTAAGTATTTGTTATTCACTTGTACTATCGCATGACCTGTTTTTTTTCTCATACTAAACTATATATGTAGCATTACTTCATTAGATACAAATTTCATTATTTCAATATGTTACAATATATCATCTGCTTCTTATCTTAAATTAATCGATATTGATTATACATAGGTAAACAGCTTAAAGTAATCATGATTTTCAATTTTATACAGCACAACTGAAGCAGATAAAGAAAATCACTTTATCAAAGATAACGTGTGATAATTTCAAGATTAAGAAAATACAAAAGGATTCTTTTACGACCATATCGCCGAGGTAAGTAGTTTTACAATTTAAATAATACTTTTCTTAAGATTTGATGTTAGTATTGTATAGTATTGTTTAATTGCTTTCCATTTCAGTGTTTTGTTGCTGTATATAAGACACAGGTGAATAGCACCTTGCGATATAGTGTTTGTTTAAGATATTATACAGTAGAACCAAACACCGAATTAAACTTTTGTATATAGCTGTTTCTTCCTTCAGTATCAATAGTTGATATCGCGATACAGTTCTCCGAAATGTATGGTACCCTGTCAAAGTAGGGTATCTAATATTTCTAATGTACTGGTTTTTTATTCAGTGACCACAATCATGTATCAACATTAAAAGCAAAAACATGATAATTTAAATGACACTGAATACACGAGACTTTGATGTGATGAATATTATCAAGCTACAACTTGATTATGATAATGATTAATGATCGTTAATACCGACATTGAATGACCAAAGATCGATAAACATTTATGGCTGAAAGGTACATTGCATAAAAAAATGATATTGTGAACTTTTTTCACTGTTTTAGAATCCTTTGTTGGGAAATGAAAATGTTTTGAAGCAATAAACTTTCTGATCTCATCTTTTATGTTTAAATACCATGTATAACCGAGTACATTTATCGATTGTATCAACTATAACCTAAACTGTTGTTGCGATTTTTTTCTTCTGACTGTTAATGCCCACTTAAGCTTGTTCTGTTATATTTGTATATGTTTAACATTTAAACATTTCGATGGTTGCCTTCTACTTTACGCTGTTATACTTGTCCGTTTTCATTTTCTAGTTATTTTTGTATGCCTTCTTCACTCTACACATATTTTTGTTTCTCTTTTACATTCAGCAATGATCTAACTGCTTGTAACAAGTTACCCAAGCTGAGACTGAGACCTTGGAAGGAGACAGTTGCTCAAACAAAAAAGAAGCACGGCTCGAATTATTAAAGAACATTACCTGTTTCTTCAATATTTATTGTTTCATTTCGTCAAACAAAACTTAAAAAGTGTATTTCTTTCATGATAATTAGGAGCTCGCCTTTAAAATACATGCACTCCATTCTATATCCAAATAGCTATTAAGAACATCAAAAAATACCAACATGGCAACATAATCCAAACTCAAATTACATAAAACAAAGGCACAATATGAAGAAAAGAAAATTTTACACAAGGACTCCTGAAAAAGTAAAAGGAGAATAAGACCAGGTGTTCTGGAAGGATAAGTGTCTTCTGCTACATCGACGACATCCGCCATTAAACATTGGTAAATCGAAATAAGTTGTCACGTTCTCAAATGAGAACAAGGTATACAACAACGGAACCAATAGGCAAACTAACAAGCTTCAAAAACGTCCAATTTCATATCGCAAAAAGAAATGCAATATTTGTCACCGAGATCATTAAGGCTACCATACACAGGGAATGAGCCATTTTAATACAAATATAGAATTAGATACAGTATATCCAAATGATACATCGAACTGCGTCATCCAGCTAAAACAATTCAAACTTTATAATTTTTCGGCACCTAGTCAGTAAGGTATGAGAGTACAACAACCAAATCCCCATAGATTCAAGCCCAAAATCGACGAAACGCAGACAAAACATGAACAAAAAGAATATTTTATTTCTCCTGATAAAATATAAGAAGAAAAAGACAAAGTATTCTGGAGGGTTTTTCGTCTTCTGCTTTATCGACGACATCCTCTACATAAACCTGTATTAATCAAATACAGTTAAAATCGCAGATCTTTTGTGTTTTCTTTTCATTTGCTCTATGGCTGACAATTGATTTCGAGAAAACAGTACTAACAAAATGCCGCAGTGACCATTTCCTGGGCAAATAAATTTGTGGACTGACATTATCTTCAACATTAATGTTATCCCACGAAAACTAAAACAACGCCCGATTCTCCTATAACACCGAGACCACCAGGTATACCTATGATCATGGAATATATCATATTAATTTTAAACATAAACCACGAAAATTCTAACGATGTCATTCTGCCTTGATAACAAACAAGCAGGCATGCAAAAGAGCATCACAGACATAACATCAGCGATCAGAAAGTATATCTGTTCAAGAAGCATCGACAGATCATACGTGGATATTTCTCGACAAACCTCCTTGAGGCATGCAGGCAGAGTGCACATAGCAAATATTTAATAGAAACTTTATACCAATGCCAGAAAATGCGGTTTACCGTCTCTGTATATGCGAGTCTAGTAAATATTCAGGTATAGGCCAAACGATGAATGAAACACATACGGGTATTGCATGCCTTCCAATGCCAATGTTATATTATGAACCGATTAATTGGATATACATTTCCCGCAATAATAGCATTTTGAGGTTATATTGCTGGACTCAGATACGATATAATTATAGTACAACTACAAACGAATTGATCAAGTTATAGCACGCAGTTTATCAGAAGAAACTTGTTTTAAAAATTAAAGTTTGCAATAAGAAAATGCTGAAGTACGAGAGGGGACAAGTATACATGTACTTATATTATAACTTTGTGGAACATAAGTTTTACAGGCAAATATCGAATACACACTTTCCTTTCGTGAATGTCGCGACAATAAGCAGCATTTTCGAGGGTACAATAAACCTGCAGAAATAGAAGAAATTTCGTTTTACTAACAAACTTATTTTCCAGTGTTCTCTTTCTTTACATATTGATCTGTCTGTCAAAATATCACAAAAGAATTCAAAATGTTAAGAGTCATTTTATAGACATAACAAGAATACACATTTTTCAACAGCGACAATGGTCACATATGAAAAACGCGTTTCACGACTGGCAGAGAAGAGCTTCTTTTTGATAAAACACTTTTGGAAAAGGGGCAAAATACGTTTCGTACTGCGACAGTGGTCGAGTCCATAGACCACCGAACCTAGTCCACGAAGGTACCGAAGACTACACAATAACATGTCACATGATGAAATGCAGCATTTGGCTAACCATTCGGCTGTGTCAGCGACCAGGGAAATTTAGTCGAAGAACCAGCTCCACAGTCGTTTAGGTTTTTAAATTTGTCTTCTGATCATAAAATAAATCAAAGCACATTCCTTTCAAGTTGTTGCAGTTTTCTTCAACCAGCCAGAAAGAAGCAAGATACACATATCACAGTATTGGTAAACTTTATTATAAAACTGTCCAGACTCCACGGATTCTACATACATAATTCAATCTTGGGTATTTTTTTCTTCATCATGAAACAAACATGTCAACAGAGACTCATCAGCTGAGTAGCAAAACATCATGGTAACCAATTAACTGAGTATCTATAAAGACGTAAAACTGTTAATTGGTCATTAAATATTGCCGCTAAGTAGACTGAATATCGGATTTGTACCCTAATTATCAGATGATTGGTCAACAGAATGATACATTGTTGATATCAACACATTTTATACAACAATTGTATTCAAGATCATGCAGCAAGCCTTGGCGAATTTCTATGCTCATTTGTCATCTTCCCCGTTTTTCTTAATTTAGCCAAAACATATGCCAAATATTTCTTTTAATTCTTAACTAGAATATTCTAAAATTTGTCAACAAATATCGATAATGTATTCAATGAACAATATTATAGCATTCCGTTTGTTTCTGAGGCTACATTGTAACTTCCATACACATACCGTAACTTCTCTATTCCGATGTTACTCTGTTGCGAATAAGTTATATAGTCACCATTGACGGCAGCTGATATCTACTCATTTCAGGAATTAATGACGTAACACATGGATGAAGAGAGCATTTATTTACATACATTATTGCATAGCAAATTCTAATGCAGAAACTCTTAGATCTACACAAGACAATTCAATGGATTTTTCTACAGAAATCTACTAAATGGACTTTGCTGATACCATCCAAAGACTATACATCAATATCTAAATGTGAGAGCACTGAATGAAAGCTTACAGCACATTAGACTAAATCTCAAACTCCCTAATATCATTCAGAGAAAATATTTCGCTCTGTACAATGTACTGTAGTCTAACGTTGTCTGTCTAGACACCAAAAAGGATGGTATTTTGGCTACCATATGTGTACAAAACAAAGTAAAATAAAAAATTTGGCAAAATGAATAAGTACTGAATCTATTGTACGCATTGCATATTTTGGCAAATGCACGGTGTTGAACTTAATTAGCTGATCTATAAATCCATGGATAGAACTTGAGACACAAGTCAGGAATTCAAATGTGAAACTGTTTTTGGCATTCTTCCAATGTGTATTGGGATATAACATTCTCTATATTTAAATTAAAAACGAAACTGTTGTGTGGAATTTTAATGAATTGTTTTGCAAACTAGAAGACTTGATGCTCTTACATGCTCTATTCCCAATATTCGTCATATGTCATCTTCTAAACAAACCTTTTTATGGTATTTTGGTTTGCACTTATTATTTCTTTAACTTAAAATAGTTGGGATATGTGTTCAAGCGTAAGCATTGTACGTATAGAAAAACCTTTAGTTTGAGAATATCATTCATTCTCTTGATTTGACTTCTGTGGAAATACGTAATTTTTTGCAACTGTACAAACTTTGGGTCTAAAAACAATTCTGGAGATACTGTAAATTTAATTATTCAAAGTGAAATTTTAGAAAAAAGATAGATTTTAAATAAGTGTGCATCTAATAAATAGCCTGGATATTTTTAACTATGTAATGATGTCTGAGGAAAGTTTAAGCGAATTATCGAGCAGATCTAATATGAAGTCGACATTGGTTTACAGATATTGCTTCTAGCAAGAATTCAAAACTCTACACAAAATACTGCTAAAACACAGCCAATCTTGTTTTCAACATCTAAGTAATGTGTGAACATTTGGTCAAGTACATTGTATGAAAAGTTTAATTATGGTACATATTTTCTGGTTTTCCTTTTCTGGAAGCTTAAAACAAGTTTATAACGTGCACTGTATTCAAGGATTCGACGTTGTTTTAACGTACATATTTTTTGTATACCGAGCATGATATGTCTACCAAACAAACCTTTCTTGAATTAAAGACCAAATAAAAAAAATCTCCCAGAGAAAATAAAACCCGAAATTGTTAATGTTGATTTAAAAGGGTTTGAAATACATTAACATCACTTTACAATATCCATAAAGCTGGACATTGATATGCAGAATTATTAGAAAAATCAACAGTTGCAATTAACTTCCGTCCAGCGAACAAGTTCTGATTCTTACTATCTGATTACCTAGCGATATTTTGTTTTAAAGTTATTTTACCCTATCACTCTCGTAACAATAAGTAAAGTTGTCAATGTGAGGAACACTTTGATTTCCACTACAATCAACAAGACAATATGATAAATGTCAAGGAAACATAAATTTAAAATGTCCTTGCTCAAAATCATACATGTATACGTACATGCTAATGACTATTTTCGGTGAGCACTGATGATATGACTAAGATGTATTGTATCATTTTTCGTAATATACAATCAGGTCAGTTTGATCTTTCCTAATGTCGTATTTGTTTCTTAGGAAGATAACTCACATGCAAGAATAATTACGACAGTACAGCAACCGTACAAAACACGCTAACGTAATACAAGATGATGGCATGCCTCTTAGTTAGAGATAGAGCATAAGGGAACAGATTTGTCAAAACAAACTGTATACAAATTTGTCAATGATACAGAATCATATTTAGAAGTAACTGATATTGAATTTATATGCTGACAGTTAACCTGAACTTGGACGCTACATGGATGAAAGGACGGACACAGTGTAAGCTTATCACTGTGTAACATTCCTAAGTTAGATATTTTATTGCTTGGTTGCATTGTTAGGTAAAAAATCTACAATGCTATACAATATCATTAGACAGAAAATAACATTTCTCACTATTCAACAAAGGTAGTGGCAATGGGCGAAACAGAAATACGAATTCAATCTCAGAATTCTTT